TGAAAACAATATGTAAACTGTGCGAGAGGAGCTGTTCCCCACTGTCTCAAGTCTGTGATGAGTTATGAAAGAGGGAACGGGGGTGGGATCAGCACCGAGTAATGGAGCTCACAGCCTGGAAAAAACTTTAAGAGACAAGCAGAAGGAGACAGGAAATGAGTTGAGTATTTCTGAGCTGCCGCCCCCTTGTCCAGACATTTGTTATATACTTCATTACACACTACTGAGACATAACTAACAGCAGCAGACAGACTATAATAAATTACTTTAGAGTCTACTACATGTCAGTTAATGTATTGTAATGTAAAGGGATTCATGGTGTGTGTCTCTATAAAATGTATGAAGGACTGGGCCAAGGGGTCTTAAATTTAATAAATGTTATGTTTGGACATATGAATGATGTTTTCCCCACTTACCCAATCTAGCCCTGCAGACAATTAAGATTTTATTTGCTGTGGTTTGGTGATAACCACCACTGAGACTTCTGTCGCCATCCCAATACGATGAAGGTGAACTGATCTGAGTCTGTGGTGCTCAAATTATTGGAAAATCATATTTGAAAAACCAAACAGCAGCTTTTCTTTCCATTATATCGATTACGCAGGATAAACTACAGACCCTAGTGTTGACACTTTATTGTTTTGGTTTTTTTTTTTTACATTCAGTAGAAGATAGTTTTTAATGAAAACTATGTTAATTTACTTTAAGTTTAGTTCTCTATCCACCCATGATGTACTGCAGCAGAAAGCAGGAAAATGCAAATAACTCAGTCACAGTTGGCAGTGGTTTACTATTGTTACTGGGCCAAAAGACAAGAGTTATTTATAGGCAGCAACAGTGAAGATTATCCTGTAAAAACAAAGCAATGAATAAAACTGTTTTCCTAAGGGCATTTCTCAGGAAGACAGATTACATATCTTTAAAGTGACAGTCTGTTCAATTAATTCTATGCTACTAAAAATAATCTGTATTTGTACTTTCAGTGGTAATATAGTGATTTGGAGCAGAAATGTTGTCAGCATCTGGGTTTTCATTGTGCGTTTCATTGTATTTCCGATACTTAAGTCATAAGTCACCTACCCACACAACACTGCGTGCATTTTTAAATAGCCACCTTTCGTTTTAGATTCAACTTCAGAGATTTGGAGAAAAATTTCAAATGAAATGAAAAAGAAAATCTATATTTGATTACATAAATCAAGTCAGGATTAATAAAGATGCGAGAAATAGGTTGTGGATCAGTTGTTGTTCTTCAAATAGGAGAGGCAAGACCCAGGTCAAACATTTATCCATGCCCTTAACCCAAAACGCTTTGCAGTCAATTGTCTGTGTCTCTACATGTCTACAAATCAAAATAGTTTAACTGCAGTTATTCACGTAATTCTCTTTAAATTAAGACGAGTCTGGTCCAATTATATGGAGCAGAAATAATCTTGGTAACAAACAGAAAGAAAGCAAAAATGCTAACAATAGAATAGAGTTCAGAGCTGAACCTGGCAGGAGACAATATATTCCATCAAAATTCAGGGTTAGGGTTAAGGGTCTCAAAGCATTCTGTCAGGGCATATCCTCAAAGGAATATTGATCTAAAACTTAAATAACTTAATGCCATTATCAACCCTTAAGTAAATATTCTAACATAAACCCTGGCCATTCATTATTTGTAATAAAAAGGTGTTATATAACTACTTTTGTTCTATTGAAGTCTCAATTGACATGCATTTGGTTCAAAAGTTATTACAGTATAATATAAAGACCAGTTGACCATACAAATGAATAAATATATCAATCAAATAATACATCTGACTGATTCTTATCATTTTAAGAAACAAAGAATAGGTGGATGAGGAGGTAGGAAGGAAGTTTGTCCACTGCAACACCAGGAAGTTTCATTTATTTCCCTGTTGACAACCTACTACAACCTTTCAAGAGAAACTAATGGTGGGCTAGAGAATGGCCCCAGTACCAATTTATAATCTACAACTGAATGTTAACTGCTACAGGGCTCCTGTTCACTGAAGGTCACTCTGAGGTCACTGGTTACCAACCAGTATACAGACCCTTTCCCTAAAAACAAGATTAATGTTTTGTGAATGATAAAGCTTAAACTTCTTAGGTATGTGCTACTGAATATCATGAGGATTTGACCAACCTGATGTGGGGAAATTAAATTATTGCAACATTACTTTAAGGAAGATCCCAGTCTTGTTAAAGTGAGACATTCAGCCCACTTACTTCCTCATGGTCATGCATTTAACTCATACTAATCATATGACTTTAACACACCAGATTAGTTTTCATACATTATTGACTGCACTAAAGCCCTTTGTCTACTCTACTCAAAGCTAACTTGAAAATGGCCTTTGGTTTAAAGTGCATTCTTGCTATTTAGGTGTCCTTGTCTCTCAAATGGCCATGTTGCTCAACCAAATGCTGTTTCTGAGATAATCACAGGTCACACACACACATGCCTATTTGAGCACAGTACAGAAAATCTATAGAAAATCTGATAGTGCCATTTGTCTATTATAAGCTTTAATTTAGTTTGGAAGATTAGGTTGAGTGAAGGAAGAGATTTGAGGGTCGGTACTGACATAACGCCGAGAGGAAGGGTATCATTATACAGGATACACGATAACAGGAGAACAACAATGGATGATGAATGTGCAACATCAAGGCAATGCCAAAAGGGTGAATTGTTCGGTTTGCTGTTCTGCATTGAACTTTGCCATCTACCCTTTCTAGCCCTAAAAATGATACTTAGTCCACATCAAAAGAACAGCAGGGTAAAGAGACCTACCACAATCAGTCTGATAGGAGGACTTGCTTATTTGATACAGAAATCAGTCCTGCTGTATTGGGTGAGTCAAGCCTGGGGAAACAAAACACATTCAAGAGGCACACAAAGAGGGATCCTCACCAGAAACTTGGAACAGCCTGGGCCAGAAGCACAGGACCACACCATTAGGAGGAATGTAATCCATGATTTCAAATGTCTTACAGCAGACAAATTTGCATAGCGGCAGCAGCAGCAGCAGCAGCAGCAGCAGTGTAACAACTTAAATGAGCAAGTTTTCCAGCTCTTACCACGTATTCAGGCCAAAAACACTAGTTTAACAAAAAATCCAAAAAGGGGCTATGTAGGTGGGGGTGATGAATATTTAGATTGGATGGCAAGTGTGAGTAACAACCATTTATAGCTTTATCAAAACACCAAAACACAGCAGAAAGGGTTTTAGGGTGGGTTAATAGTGTGAAGATTGTACAACCCGTCTCAACAAATTTTGCAACATGGGATTATTTCATCTCCTTTTTGATGTTGACAGGTTTCACAGAGGAAATGCCATACTTTTGCATGAGTACGTGAGAGCGCAGGTCCTCGCAAATTTATTTACAACTTGTGAGTGAAATATGACCTCGCCACCTTTTTGCAATCTGTGTGCAAGCAGAGCATTAAGTTGCATCAATCATTTTATCCCTCATTGTGCCAAGTGAAGAGCTAAAATGCGGAAATAAACAAATTGCCATACAAAGATCTGCTAGGAATTAGAGATGACTGATTAGCTAGAAAATCAGCCCCTTGCCAAATTATGTTATGATAGCGCCTTTCATACAAGTTAGTGCAATTCATTATTCATTGCTTGACAGATGACTAACAAGCTGGTAAAAAGACAGATAATATTCAAATATGTAGTTGTTTCCACTGGAATTCTCAATAATGTGCTCACACTGCCTGGATTGCTTTTGGCAATGATGGGCGAACTGGGCTTGGTGGATATCTGGTGCCACCTCCATCCCAGAGATAAGGATTTTACTTTCATGCACAGGTACATGGCAGTTACTCGAGGTCGGACATGTTCTCGATATCTGGTACAGAAATGTACAGGACTAGTGAATGTAATATAGAGCCAATTACCATATCAGATCATGCCCCATGTCATCTTAAAGATAAAGGTTGGAACAAATAAACTGTTTAAATATTGGAGACTTAATGTCTCACTGTTAAACAATGAAACGATTCAACAAGAAAAGATTTGATTGACTATCTGGCCTTAAATGATAATGACACAGTCTCACCCTCTACTCTTTGGGAGGGGGCCAAAGCAGTGATGAGAGGGAAAATTATTGCTATCTCTTCAAGAGTAAAAAAGCAAAGGCTAGCCTAACAAGTTGAATTAGAGAGGGACATTAAGATATTAAAGACAGAGCAGCTTTGGGAAGAATTTCACTGCAAGGTAAAAACGAATTTCTTCTGAACCCTGCTGATAGTTTCTGCCTTTAAAAACAATATACCAAATGCTGGAGAAACTGTGGGATGGGAAACAAATTCCCCTGGAAATACTGCCGGATCATCAGTTTACCACAGACCAGTGTTACATACTGCCTGTTCTGTTGATGAAAAATAATGACTATAACAATGAATTTCAGTGGCTAGAAAAAGTCAAAACATGTCAAACATGTCTATATGATGGAACACATGACTGCCCAGCTACAGCTATAGTTACATCCTTTTAGAAGAAGATGGGCACCAGTTATTGACTAGCTTAGTTAGGAACTATATTCGCTTTATGTATGTGAATCTGCATATGTGTCTATGTATGTGTAGATATATTTGTATGTATGTATGCACGCACATGAGTTTATGGATGTGTATGCATATCTGAATAGAGGTATTTGTGTGAATGTCCTACTACTGCAAGGTGCTATTTCATCTACTGTACAGATGAATATGTAAAATGAAGCCCAATGTCAAGGTGGTTCTGCTCTAATGTAAATTGCCTGCTTCTGTTTGAAAATGGCAATAAAGTTTGAAAAAAATGAAAAAATTAAAAAATAAACACTTAGTCTGTCACATCAAATGTGTCCATGCTGTGTTTGATACTTAAGGAGGAGGGAGAAGGAAAACGTGTGGACTGAACTATGACTTTTTGGCAGACATCACTTTAATTACAGTTTCCTTTAAAAGAATGAGTCAGAGAAAGAGAGGAGAGAGAAAGGGAGTGTGCTGGTGAAAGTGGAGCAGGGCATCTGGAACTCTCTGGTCTCCTTAGACTTACTCAGGAGGAATGACTCTTCTACCTACAAGGTATGTACATGTTTCATTTGCTTTATTTATTACAAAAAATATTTCACATAATCAGTAAAACATTATCTCTTTTTAAACATTGAGAATTGTAAGTTACATGATCACTGTAACCTGAAACCTGGTTTGAAAAGAAAAAAAGAAAAAATTTACTGGCGTGTGAAGACAGCTGCTGCTGTCAAAATAGGTTGGGTGACAGAATATCTTGATACATAAGAGTAAACAATTTAGTTTAAAAAAAAAAAAAAAAAAAAACTTGGATATGAACCCAGTACAAAACATGTCTTATGTTCCTCAAAAATAAAGTTTAGTCTTTAACGTGTCATTGAGCAGCAGCAGTAACACGTGTTTATAGAAAGGAAATTTGAATGAAAATTACATTGACTGTAGTTATCATATATCAGCCCCAAATATTAGAAGATAAACTGAAAACCATGAGCCTTATTAATGCCAAACATCTGGTTATTGTCAAGCACTTTTTTTTCTCTTTTTTTTTTTTTTTATTACACATTTTTCACATTTCTGGATTCAGTTTGTCCAGTACTGGATTCTTCTCTTTACAGCAAAAATAAATCTTCAGTAACACATTTGACGGTTTGATGTTTGCTCTTAAATTGCAGCCTATTGACTTAATAATTTTCAATGCATTCAAATACATCCTTATAACTGCTGAATATGATTTGAAAATACAGTTGACTTGGTCATAATAATGGTTCAGCCGAGTATGACATACGAGTATGATATCTCATATTGTGCAGAGCACCCTCAAGGGAATAAGATGGAACAGAGCTGAGCCTGTTGCTCATTAGTGGTCATTTGTGTCTGGGGCTGAGGTACAATTGAAATTAATGATTGTTGGGAAGGCTGGCTGGTAGATTGTATAATTTGAGGTTGCATTGCAGCAGTTAGCGACTCCATATGCAGCTGATGTACAGTATGGAGATGGGCACTTTGTTTTATAATCCGGTGTGCAGTTGATGCTCAACTGAAGATGGCTATTTGTAGAAGCTCAAAGTATTTTTTTATGGTGGCTTGTGTTGTTTGAGTGCAATACAAATAAAGACCTCAATAACATACAAGGAGAAATGTCTTCAGCATTGGCAGGTGTTTATTAATTTTAATCAAATATTTTTTTAGTTTGATTTCAGCTATACAGTGGTGAATTTTCCACTAGGACAATACACACACACACACACACACACACACACGATACATCTGAGGAGCTGGAAAAGGTGAATAGGTGCTGGTAGATAGATTTTACTAGTTTTGGACAGAGCCTCAGCAAGAAGGTCAATAAGCATATATGTTTAATTGTCCTTTTTTTATGTTCATCACAGCGTCCCAGACTTCAGCACCACAGCTTTATATGGAGACCAAAACAACACCAATGGCACTGGGTGTCCTGAGCAGGATGACTGGCAGTGGCTCAACACCAGTCAGCCAGTGTATATCCTGCTCATCTCTGTGCTGGGAATTGTGTTTAATATGTTTGTCCTGATGGTATTCTGTCTCCACAAGAAGCCCTGCACCGTAGCCGAGATCTACTTGAGCAACTTGGCTGCTGCCGACCTCGTCCTGGTGTCCTGTTTGCCATTCTGGGCTGTCAACATATCCAACGGTTTCAACTGGCCCTTTGGTCAGTTCCTGTGCAAACTCATCAACCTGGGCATTAAGATGAACGTCTACTGCAGCCTCTACTTTCTCATTCTGATCAGCATAGATCGCTATGTGGCACTGGTACATACAATGTCCCATGGCAGAATGCGTAGGCCGAAGTATGCCAAACTGGGCTGTCTGCTGATGTGGGGTTTCGGTTTGCTCCTGAGTGTCCCCACACTCGTCTACCGGGAGGTGAAATATTTCCCTGAGTACAATGTTCACGCATGCTTTCTGAACTACCCAAGCCACGTCATAGAGCTGCTCTTTGATGGGCTGTTGATCATTTTCAGCTTCATCATCCCCATTTCGATTATCTCATTCTGCACTATCAAAATTATCCAGGCTTTGAAAATCCAGGCATTAGAGAGGTTCAGTGCTGAGAAAACAGAACAGAGGGCCACCACTCTGATGTTGGCCGTTCTGTTGGCCTTCCTTATCTGCTGGTTACCATTCCACGTTGTCACCACACTGGACGTGCTCCTACGAGCAGAAGTCCTCGGAGGGTGTCAATTATCAGCCGTCCTAGAAATCTGCAACCAGATCTTCACCTACCTGGCCTTCTTCAACAGTGTTCTCAACCCCATCCTGTACGTCATCGTAGGAAAGAACTTCAGGAAAAAAGTCCGGGAAGTCTTCCAGCAGTGGAGCGTTAAGAGAAGAGCAACGCTGGATTCCACACGCTCACACCTGTCCTCCACTCTAAAGACTGTAGTATAAAATACTGCTATCATTTTCAGACTGTGGTCAAGTCATTTAGTAATCTTGTGCCAATGTAAATGATTAGAATGATTAGATTTGCAGTGTATGTAATTGTATAGTAATTGGACCAAATCACCCTTCCTCAAAATCAATCTGATGAGATGTCTTCTCAAAAAGATAAACTCTAGCTTCATTTATTTTTGGGAAATTTAAGGGTCATATAGGGCTGTAATGTTCCCTCCTAGCTAAGGTGTTACAGATAGAATAACATTTTAGCTGTCTCAACTATTCTAAATGATATCACTTAGCATAAGCTGAAAAAACCTAACCACAATTTTATAACATTACCACAACAAACTACGGCTGGTCTCTTGTTACAAACATTGTCAAACATCAGTATCTTGAATGTACAGGTTTAATGTAAATCTGCATGGTTTCTGTAAAATAATGTAAATACAATTTTCATATTCTCTCTTGTATTTCTGATAAGTCAGGTTGTAAATAGTACAAATATACGTTTCCTTCTGAACATTGAAAATTCAAATAAAATATACATATGGTTTTATGGATGTCTCATTGAATCTTTTTAAATTCTTTTAAATGTTGAGCATAAAAATGAAAATGTAAAAAGTGCCCCAGCAACTGCTTGCTAAGTGATTTCTGATGTTTCTGACTCATTGTCTGCAGAGTTAAAAACAGGATTCTGTCAAAAAGTTTCCAGTGGTGACACACAAACATGCTGGCTGGATAGGCACCAGTTGTCTCATTATACATTTCTCGCCACCTCACCATTTAATGGCCCAATGTTGACTCAGTGTGGGCTGTGGGCAAGGGTACACCCCTATTTGTCCCCAGAATGAAGACATGTGATGCCAAACAGGAAATCTTTGTTAGGAGTCAGACTTTACCACTATTGCAAGAGATGGAAATTGTTGTGGAACAAAAAACATGCAGGCTGACAAAGTTACCTCAAATGGCCAAACGGAATAGGCCAAAAATACATAGTTTGACCTGTTTTCATGTATTTTTGTTGGCCTGTTAGGATAATGACACCATGTTTTTTTACTCTCTTCTTTCAAATCTGGAATACATATATTCTTCTTTCAAAAGCATGGGTCTGAATAAGACTGAAATAAGGGATCAGTATACTGTATACATATCCTCGGAAAAAGAAGGAATTTAAGATCTATTCATTTTTGTGGGAACAGGTTCCCATACTTTACATTGTTTTCCATACTTTCCTCCCTTGCTCCGCGTGTTACCTGTTGCTTCAAATCTTGACACAGATGGGTTTCTGTGAGTGCTGACAACTTAACCCATGAAAGAAAGACAGTTTACGCTTGCTAGTCCCTCTTCTTTACATAATGCAGGATGAACACAACACTGAGGGTGCAGGAGCAGCTGATTACTTAGGAGTTGATACAACTTGAACAGAAAGCAGCTGAATAGCTTCTGCTCTCTGAATGGAAAAAAAACTTGAATAAAAAATTAAAATAAATAAAAGGATGACTTAAATCACAAACAGTATATAACCCATGCTAAGTATGTGTGCTTGTTGAAAAAGTCTTGACTATACAGGATGATGGCGTACACGTGGCACATCACAGAAGATGGCAGTGTCCTCAAATGTCATTCAACAGCTGCCTTGAGAAACATCCATCGAGAGGATGGAACCTTAGACACTGTTTCCACAAAGTCCAAAAACAGTGTTATTCTCATGAAAAATGGCTGTGTCTGCAGTATCATCTTAGTTTAAACTTCCTTGCACAAAAGCGAGGAGAAAATTTTAGTTGAACTTTAATATATAAATTGTCACTGTGTATTCGTGTGTGTCCATCCAGGTATAAATGTGTGGCCAGTGTTGCTCCTTACAGTGTCTGCTGCTAAGACTCCACTCTTTGATGATGGCATGTGTGTGCTGTGTGCTCTGACCGATAAACCACCATTATCCACACTCCATTAAATCAATTATGCCTTCACATTTAGAACTCAGATCATGACGTGAAGGTAGCAACACCTACATCAAACCTGTGTTGACACAGTTAAAAGGTTTTACTGGTATATGTGTTCGTGTTGACCACACCCTCCTCTTTCTACCTCTAAAAATGACTGTGCAGCAGCTTTCGCAGTGATCCCCGACTCAGCGGATGAGTGACTTATGGAGAATGCCACAAGAGCTGAGCTTGTCTGCAACCACACAGATGCATGGGACTGGGTTTACACCATGCAGCCGGCCTACATGTCCATCATCTGCTTTCTTGGAGTGATTGGCAACTCATTTGTGCTTTGCGTGTTCTGTCTCCAGAAGCGGCACAGCTCTGTGGCCGACATCTACCTGTGCAACCTGGCAGTGGCTGATCTTCTCATGGTTTCATGTCTGCCATTTTGGGTGGCAACCATTATCGACAGGTTCCACTGGAGGTTTGGAGAACCCATGTGCCAACTTATCAATATAGTCATTGGGATGAATTATTACTGCAGTGTGCTGTTCCTTACACTTGTGAGCGTGGACAGATACCTGGCCCTCACCAGACCGCTGTCCCAGGGGAGGGAGAGACGGGCCTTCTGGGCACGTGGGATTTGCATCGGTATCTGGATTGCTGGAATCCTGCTCAGCTTCCCTGCTATCCTCTTCCGCTCTGTACAGTTCTTCCCTCATTTGGGGATTGATGCATGCTACTTAGCGTACCCCCATGAAGGCTGGAGACTGCGCTACAACATGACTGTCAGCATAGTAGGCTTCCTTATCCCTGTTCCTATCGTATCCTTTTGTAGTTACCACATCACTAAAGTCATTCGGAGCAGCCAGAGGATGAGAAAATGCAGCAGAGGAAGTGTGGAGAGGAAAGCAGCATATCTCATCCTTGTTGTTCTGGCTGTGTTTATCCTCTGCTGGCTGCCCTACCAGGTTCTGATCATCTTGGATACTTTGGATCATTATGGAGTCATCTCTGGATGCACATGGGCACATGTGCTGGACATTGGCAACCAGTTAGCTACTTACCTTGGCTACAGTAACAGCTCATTGAATCCTTTCCTGTATGTGATTGTGGGAAAGCATTTTAAGCAGAGGGCAAGAGATCTGTTTAGACTAGTGCTGTGCAGGAGGAAAAGGCAGTGGGGAAAGTCTCGTCATTCCAATGCTAATCTCAACTCTAAACAAACTGACAGTACAAAAATCTAAATCTCATCTACACAGACAGAAAATTTGTTGTTCAAGAAATTAGTTTAATTTAAATGCAATATCGGAGTTAGTTGAAGACATTGATAACCTATATATACGGAAAATATGAAGCTATAGCTTGTAGCTGGTTAGCTAAACTTTCTCAAAATGTGACAAAATTCCCCTCTATAGCTTGCAAATTAACTTGTATTTCATTTATTTAGTTCATACAAAAAACAGGAAATAGGCTGGCATGTAAAATCACAGTCATTTTACACTTTGTTTTAATACAGAACAAAAAAGATATGTGTTAGTGAGTTTTAAAAAGGTGATGGAAGGTGGATTCTGTTACCATTCTCACCCTGTTTTCAGTCTTTATGCTAAGCTAAGCTAAGCTAACTGGCTTAAGGTACTCTTGTCTGTGTGGTAATTAAGCTAAGATACCATACAGACAGGGGTGTGGCTTCAATCTTATTTAAGTCTGTCCAGAAAATTGCTATATTTGGATCAAAACTAGATAATGAACACCTGACTTATTTTCATCACTGAAATGTGGATAGTGTTTCAGAGATCTGGAACAAGGCTAAAGTGACAAGAAAGTGAAATAACATTTCAACATTTTCCACTTTTGTAAGTAATATGTTTGATGCAAAACCATTGCAGACTTGTTTGACTTTCTTTGATGTGACAAAGAATTTCCAGATGTAAAATCATTTAAATTAAATGTTAGGAAATTTAGTGTGTGTCAGATTATATGCAGCTCCATTGTTTTGTTGAGGTAAATTTCCTCCAGAGCCAACCTTGATTATCATTTTCCATTATATTGTATTGTGTTTGTCATCTTGAATTTGATTCCACATTTAATTATTGTTATTATAAGTTGTTTCCTTTCAGTTGTTCCACTTATTATTCCCATACAAAGGTACGCTTGATGTTGTGATTTCCCTCATGTTTGTTATCTTTAGTCGAGCTCTCCATTTTTATAGCAGCTATAAGGAACATGAGTTATTTTTCTATATTTCTTCACTTGCTAAAAGTTGCTCTTACTACTTGGGTATTTTAGAGTAGAGCACATATATAAAGTGAAATATACTATCTTTGACTTCTGCATTATCAACATAAAAAACAAAAACATGAGCCACAAAGCATTTGAATTCCAGTTGACAAATCGAAGGAAAACGGTGGCGGGGCGCACAACTCCTAATACTGAGTACCTCTGTCTGGTGCACAGATGTGGAAAAATGGAATAGTCTTTGTGTTTTAATACAGGGCAAAAAAACGACAGCGTTTCAGCACGAAGCCCTCATTCTCAACTCAGTCACTCGTATATATAGACATCTGATGCTAGAGCCTGATTGCTTGATTACTGATGAAGTGCACCTGTGAATCAGCCACACCCAGGGGGAGTGGCTACACGTCATCAGAAACAGTTCCAAAAACATGAAAGATAGTCAATAGAATATTTCCAAGCAAACACTTACATAGGCATACATTTAAAAAATAATGAAAGAACATAACATCAGAAAAGCACAGTTGCACATATCTAGATTAGAGACACCTTTAGAGTCCCTTTTTGCAACTGTTACTCTGATTAACTTTAATATTAATTTCAAACCCTTGACATTTATTGAATATATTCTATTTAAGTGTTTCCTTCTACTTAAAATGTCCAGGCCCTTTCATCGTGACTGGGTATACTGTTATCCTTAAGCCCTTTCAGGTTAGATATTTTTTGAGTGTAGCATACACTGTGAATTTAATGACATCCTTGGCTATATATGTTTTTTAGGATGGTTGTTTGTGGCTCTAATCTGGATATGTGCAACTTTTGAATGCTTTTCTGATGTTTTTTCTGATGGAAATATTCTATTGACTATTTTTACTATTTGTTGTTCTGTTTCTGAAGACACGTAGCCATCCCCCAGGTGTGGCTGATTCAAAGGTGCGCTTCATCAATAATCAAGTAATCAGGCTCTAGTCTCAGATGTCTATATATACACGTTTCCTCTGAGTTACCACTGTTTCTTACGCTGTTGACTGCTTCATGGTGAAACACGTTTGGCTTTTTTTTTTTGCCCTATATTAAAACACAAAGGTTATTCCATTGTGAGTGCTGGCATTTCCTTCGCCTATTTTTACTATTTGTTGTTCTGTTTCTGATGACATGTAGCCACTTCCCCAGGTGTGGCTCATTCACAGATGCACTTCCTCAGTAATCAAGCAATCAGGTTAAAATACAGACTATTCCATTGCGGGTGCCAGCATTTCCTTCTCCTTCCACATGACAAATTGTCCACTAAGGCTTTAATAAATGATGCTAACGTCATTTAAGATTTTTAACAATGTGTGAGTGCTGTTTTCCTCAATAAAGTACAATCTGTGACTATTAGAAGAATTGGATGTCTCTGTTTTGATGAAAAAGGATTGCTTACACATTGGAAGAAGATGAACCAGGTTTCCTTTCAGAATGTCTTAATGGACTGGATGGAATAATTCAAGTGTGCTGTTATCATTTTGACCATAAAAGGTATAACACAGCCTCAACTAGCGATTTTATACCGACAAAAAAAGTTCTGTTTACACTTTGTATTCTATCCAGTTTGATTGTTACTTGGTTTTGAGCCATTTACGTTATTGAGTGTAATTGTTGCTATTTTATCATCTTGCATAAGGATGAAATTGAAAACAGATTAGGAAAGGATTACACATAAATTAAAAATGGATCAGATAGAGATAAATCAGTTATAAGTGCTTACGTCAAAGTATAACATTCACAACATCTCAACATCAAAACCTAGAGAGAGGTATTAGAGAATGTATAAACAGGAAATAATCCTGCTATTCAGTTAAATCAGATGGATGTTTACCATATTATTATGAACTGCACATAATACAGTGAGGTCATCATTCCTTTGACCTTGCAGACAAGAAAAAAGAGCCAGTTTTATTTTCATTGATAAAATAATACTTAAATATTTGTATAATTGTAAATCATAGTAAGACGATCTAGTCTTGATGAAGTCAACACATTTGGTGCATTGCTGTCTGCAGTTTGGGCTCCTCTCCAGAACATTTAGTGCACTGCAGTTTCAACTTGTCTCTAATGTGCACAGGCCAGATTTTGACTCTTTCATAAACAAGTTGATATATTGAACTCCTAGGCCAAGAGTGTGGAAGAATGCAACTATGTATACAAAAGAAACTTGTGTGTACTCTTCCTACGGGCTCAGTGTACACAGATGAGCCTTGTTCCAGACGTGTTTTTTTATCAATAGTATTTCACAACAGGAGGAACATGTTCACGAAACGTACGGTAAGAACATCTCATTTTGCATCCTTTGCTTTTTTGCCTTTTGAGTCTTAGTCTGTTCTTTAAAAGTACTAATGGTAACAACATAGTAGGTCTTACCAAGGCGAACTGAAAGAATGTGCAAGAATAAGAATTGTTTGAGTATTTTAAGTGTTGTTAAGCTTAGGAACACAAATCATGTGTGACAATGTGTAAGTGTCTGTTTCATCAGCACTAAAGCTGCTGAACTGAACTAACGTCATGACGTCAGCAACATTTTTATTGTTGATGTATAATTTTTTTCATGTTTTATTTATTTCATTATGTGTGAATAGGAAATTATGAACTATAAAGATACAGTTTTAATCTTTGATGCAGTAGGTTTAAAAACAACAACACTGTGTGTTTTGAATCAAACAACAGCATTTTAATGATGGGGTTTGAAATTTCATGTCTTAGCCCATGGAGCCAACGAAGCTTGTTACTGTGGCAACACTGTGGTCTGAAAACAGCACAACATCCCTGCCAGTGGTTCCAGACTGGGAGATCGTCCACTCTGTCATTCCCCCATACATCTTCATCTTAAGCCTGTTAGGCCTTCTCCTTAACAGCTTTGTTCTGGCGGTGTTTGTAGCCAACAAGGATCGTCTGACTATAGCAGAGATCTTCCTGAGCAACCTGGCACTGGCTGACCTTATTCTCCTGTGCGGCCTCCCTTTCTGGGCAATGTACATCCTCAACGACTTCAACTGGCCATACGGAGATGTCTTATGCAAACTGGTCAACTCTCTCATCATCATCAATTTCTACACCAGCATCTACACCCTAGTCATGATTAGCATCGACCGCTACCTAGCACTTGTGAAGACAATGAAGGCCAGGGGGCTGAGGCGGACACTTTATGCCAAGGTGACCTGCTTCTCCCTGTGGATATTAGGGCTCCTACTGAGCACGCCAACTATGGTTCACAGAAAGGTGAAGTTCTTGGAGGAGTACGGTACAACATCCTGTATACTGGATTACACTCATGATAGCTCTTGGAAGATGGCCCATCAGATTCTGTTGAACTTGGTGGGCTTTGTACTCCCTGTTCTGGTCATTGTTTTTAGCAGTGGGAACATAATCAAAGCTTTAGCTGAGAGGAGGGAGAGTGTAGCTTTTAATGACACTCATGATACAAAGGCCACTGCACTTGTGTACGCTGTCACACTACTATTTTTACTGTGCTGGGGTCCCTTCCAGGTATTCACTTTCCTCGACACACTCTGTGACCTGCAAGCTTTGGATGAGACGCTGTGGTCTCATACTCTCAATATTGGACATGACATTTCAGTGTATCTGGCCTTCTTCAACAGTACCCTCAACCCACTATTGTATGTCCTTTCAGGGCAGCACTTTAGGAGGAAAGTTATCGCCATCTACAGGAGGACTAGGTATCATCGCAGAGGATCAGACATGACCACATATCAACGCTCTGTTGCATCCACTTACATCAACAGAACAGAGCAAATTAAGACTCTGGTAATTCTTAATGCAAATGTTCAGATGTAACTTTTACTCTCTGAGATGCTGTCCTCCACTTCCATTGCTGATAATGGGTAAAGTGAATTTACAGGATATGACTCAAAATGTTATTCCATGAGACTTAATATGATAAAAATGCTCTTATATAGTTAAAAAGCTCTATCAGATTATGTTTAATGTTGTGCTTTATGAAAGTTAAGGACGTAAACGGAGAAAATGGATGTAATCTGTAGGAGAAATGGAATCGGATTACAGTTTACAGATTCTGTAGTGGCACTTATGTCTTACTTTGTGGACACAGTATGTATCTGAATCCGTCTCTGTTAACTGTCACATGGCCTTATTGTTAATGACTTGTGTTTAAATGTTAAACACGCAAAAGAAAACCTGGTCTCTCTGATCTTGTATCTAGAGTTTGTCTTCTAATGTCTTTCCTTGTGTGTTCTTTGTACAGTTTAATATGAAAGAATTGCCAGCCACGAACTTTGTGTTTATTCACAATGTTCAGTATATTTTTGCATGTTGACAAAACATTTATTCAAGTAGTGACATACTGTACATACAGTAATTATGGCAGTCTTTCTTTACAAAATCAGATTTTATTACTTTTTTATCATGACTCATTTTTGTGTATTACTGGAATAATTTGGGATCACCTCAACTGAACAAGTGATGTACGATTATAAACATTAATCCTTAATGCAGAGGCATGATGTAAGGCATACAGTAACCTGTTTCAAACTCATACTTTACCAAAAGAACTTACTTTTGCAGAGTCCAAGCAGGTGTAAATGGGTCCAACTTGATGAATTTAGATTATTGCAGTTTTGAGTTACTGCAGTTTTTGACACTTCTGACTGCAAGCATTATATAGCGCAAATCTAGCGTGTTCTCTATAACCATGATGACTTTGTAAAGTTACAGTTAAACTAGTTAAAGAGAACCTGTCCCACATGATTTGCATTGCTCTTTCATGGGTTGTCAGAAGTTTACCTCAGATAGATTTGCTTGTTAGTTGGTTCATCCTTTTTCTCAAAACATTTCAAAACATTTTTTGTAAAAATGTAAAAGTGAAAATGCTGCTAATAAATCATAATTGTGACTATTGTGGTGGTTGTCCAAACATGTTTTTCTATTGAAAGCATCCATGGAGAATTAATGAAAATTTGGAAAGGCGTGGCAACATTAACTATAGAGGATATGGTTTAGCCAGCATTTATTAATTTTAACTTGGATGACGCAAAAAACTCTTTACGATTTCCCGACATTTCATTACAAAGCACGTACCACCACCACATTTCCACTTGGCAATATTTTATGTCATTAGAGAATACCTCTAAAAGTAATGACTGAAATTCTGCCATCATTAGCTACTGTATTTTGAGATCAATTAAAAATGCCTTAGTATGCTAACATTATATTGTGAGCATCTTACCATACCAACTGTGTGCACGTTGACGTGTTTTTATCGAAATCTTAAAATCAGCAATTCTCACATACATCTATCTGATAAGCTTGAGTTTATGTTTCTATATTAAAGTATCAGTTTGACATTTAGCAGTGGTAACATCTCTACAGTATTCATGTGTAACTCATTATCTGGAAGCCATTTGCCCTTCTGTATGTTCCCACTTGACATCCATTTCCAGGGCCCTATTATCTTAATCTAATAACATGAACAATCACGGTTAATTATTCTAGTTTAATCTATATTGTTTTGATCATCCCATTTCCCTAACTTGCTACGCCTTTCATTCCAAGTCAAAGTGTATTTTCCAGAGGGAGGGTCTATGTTTGTCTGCATTTGTGCTGTGCAGGCAAAAAAGAAAAAAAGTTGCTCATATATGTTTTCTTTCACTCGAGAACATGCAGAGAGGTTTCTATGAACTGTGAGTTATCGAATTTGTGTGAAAGTGTGTATTTTCATGTGTTGTCAGCTTTTTACCGGATGCCCAACCTCACCACTCTCGTTTGGCATGACACAGATTGCCTCTGAATTTTCATGAAGTTCCCTTGTGCCAAGGTCGAATTGACAAGAAATGGGAGGCAGGAGAGGAAATACTGTGGGCGGCTCTGCAAGTTGCTGCAGCTGTCTTGCTTCCACCTAACATTAGAATTTCACAAATTGAAAATGATCATGGGTTTGATAAATCACTATATCTTTAACAGCAGGCATTTTGACTTGTCCTAGCAGGAAAAGTGCAGGAGTAAACAAATTCATGTCTCCCAGTAAACCATGACAGCAAGCCGACATGCACAAAACCAGGACCTTGACACTGAAGCAGCTGTGAAAAACTTGTCTTGTCCTTATTCTCTATGTATCACTTTCAGTGCCAGCCCTATATCCATCCAATAATTATGCTGTAAGTATTCTTTGAGCATTCAGTTAAACAAACAAGAATGCAATCAATCAGTGTTTCTTCAACAAGATTGTAGTCCCACCCTCTAACTCAAATTAATTGGATATTTATGAGTTTCACAATTTCACAGGTCAGACATACTCTCTGCAAAGTGAATGAGGCAATATCTATTCCAGACAGGGAGTAATTTTGTCGCAACACAATCTTCACTTAAATGAGTGTTGGTCAGATGCTTGTGCGACCACAGATAGTGGGGCCTTTAGGCTTGATTTTATTTCTGTATAGAGGATGTGGGCTGATTTTAATACCACCTGCGCTGGTCAGTGATTTTAACCCTGTCCGAAGTACATATAGACGTAATATTTCATCCCCACCCACGTAATAATAACAGCTACAATGACCTACTGAACATCATGAAGTCGATCTGAGTTTTTTTCCGTAACCCTAATGTTTATTTTTCTTCAGTTTAGTGTGAAATTAAATTTTTGTAGAAAAAAATGTTTTTGCTAATCTAATAAAAAGAAACATGTTCACATCAACAAGAGCCGCCAGAATTGCAATAGACTCTTAGTCTTGGTTTTCTTCATATTGCTACCATTGAAACAAACAAATGTCATATCACTCATGTCTTTATATTTCATCTGAATCGGAAATGTTCTGCAGTGTTTCTTTTATCACTGTACTTAAGGTGTTGTGTTTGATTATCCTTATTATCATTATTACTTCTACTTTCTTCTGTGAACTGACACAATTTCAACCACTCAGGAGAACATCAATTGCTGATGTTAGAATAAAAAGTTTGAGGGGCATCCCGGTGGTCTATGGATTAGGGCGCTACGCATCCCTGGTTCATGTCCATCTGACCTTTGGTGTATGTCATTCCCATCTCTTTATCCCCTAATTTCCTGTAGAGTATCTGCAGGTACATTGCAAATCATTTTAAGTTAAGTTTAATTCACTAAACTCATCATTTCAAGTCTTTAGGTAAGAAGAGGTGGTCTGAAAATTAAAACTGGAGCTTTTAAATTGAATTAACATGAAATTAACAACGTTTACATATTTACATTAAATTAATGAGAAAAGATTAGTTGACTCCACTAAATTTCTTTCATATTTTGCAATGTAGTATAAAGTATATTTTCACCTGCTGTAGTAATTTTATACAATACTTTTGGGGCTGCCAGCAGATGTACCTTTTTAAGAGCTTGAAGTGAGATTGTTTCAACAGTAAATTTAGTGTACATAGGACACTGTTCAATCCTTTTTTGGGAAAGTTTCAGTCAGTGTCTGCAGACTTATTGCAAGCATCTAGGAAAATCATCGTCTAATAAAGACATTTTTTAATACCACACAGAAAGTGATTTACTAAAGGTCTTAAAAAGTCAAACTCAAACTGGAACTCATGTTCCCACATCTTAAAATATATTTCCTCTGTTTTTCTGTAGAATTGTTAATTGCATCTTCTAACATAACAATGTAGATACCAACACCGTTTGTTTAGAAACTCCCACATCTGGTTGAAGCATATTCTAAAACAACACTGACCTTAAACAAAATGTGTTGAGAATTAACATCTCGGAAAAACAAATCATCATAAGACTGCAAACAATAGTCGCAGAGTGTTTATACAATTGCTACAAGAAGGGGGAGGATAACAATGTAGATACCAACACCGTTTGTTTAGAAACTCCCACATCTGGTTGAAGCATATTCTAAAACAACACTGACCTTAAACAAAATGTGTTGAGAATTAACATCTCGGAAAAACAAATCATCATAAGACTGCAAACAATAGTCGCAGAGTGTTTATACAATTGCTACAAGAAGGGGGAGGGGGGGAAGGGGGGTGGAATTAAGAGGGAAGGAGGAGCAACAGGGCATGTCAACTCATATTTCCAAGAATTTCTGACATCACTTTGATATCAGATCACTTACTCCTTTAGGAGAGCAAGTCGAAGGCTGAAGACAAGAGCAGAAGGCACTGCAAGAGTGTAGACGGGATTCTTGACATTTTACATCTTGACTTTATCAGACAGAATGTCTCTTCCTCCCACAAGGTATGCATAAGTTTCATTATTACTTTTCTATCTTTTACCATTATTCGTCACTCTTAAAATATGAATGATCATCAATGACTTAATTTTCCATATTGTTCAACATCAGCAATTGTTTGTGCTTTACAACACTGTCTGTTAATGACAATATAAACAAGCTTCATAAAACTGATCTGGGTTTAATTTAGATGTGCACAGCCTGCTCAGATAAATTATACAGGTTTTGACACCCAGTGGTTTTCTCGTGCCAATATCGGTACTCCGGCAATGTCCTGGTATTTGTCTCAACATGTTTAGTGTCAAGCAATGGTCTGGATAAACAAGTACTAGTACATTTGGCAGTTAAATCTGTTGTACCGTGTGCACTCTGCTGAGTGGTTTATGTAGGGACCAATGTGCACAAAAAATGACTAAACAAATACGACAGTAGTTTATCCAAACAAAAGTGGATCTTGCTATAGTCTTAGTTGATACTACACTGAAGGTTCCCAGCCACATGGGAAATGTCAATATTGCAGTGCATGGTCAACGCCTTAACCCGGGAGGCCAGTGGCTCATCTCAGAACATTTTCTTTTTCTTTTATTACTCTGAAAAGAAGCAGGCACCCATTTATGTGCATTTATGAATTTCCCCTAGGGGATAAATAAAGTATCTATCTAGATGTCATCAACATATTTTTCTTTAACCATAAAGTGTTTGTGAAAACAAAATTTTTCACCTTTTTTTGGCACTTTGCCCACATTGAAATAGTATGGTTTTTTTTTAAGGTTTTTTTTGTTTTTTTTCACAAAGCAGGTCCTACAACTAATCTTAATCAGTCAAATTCTAATAATTATAAATGGCACAATGGTAGTCTGCTTAGTGTCTCACATCTGCATACAACCTGTTCTCTGCTTAGTGTTTATTTTGTTCAGGGTTGTGTCAGCCAGATGCAGCCAGTCAGACAGAATAATAAATCACTTTTCACAAAATAGAAGTTTTTCATTAATTTTCATGAAATAAATTCAACATAATACTTTTTGTTTATTCTGCATTCCAGGTAGTATCAATCAATTTGCTATTGTGTTGCTCTGATCATGTAAAAAGAACTTGATCTTAATCTAAAATTACTCACTCCTTTTTCCATATCTCTACAACTCAAGTCTCAAAGCCAAACAATGTGTTCTCTCAAACCAGTATTCAAGATCCTTTAACATAGAACAACTGGGTATATTAATGAAAATTGCAATAGAAATTGCCTATTAATTGGCATCATTACAGACTATAAACAGTCTGCAGAGTTTTGTGAGAAGTCAAACTTCAGTTGTCTTCATTTGAATAGCTGCAGCATCTGGGTACCAGACAGACTCATTGTAAAAATGGCTTAACATCTCTGGGGACTAGGTTAAACTGGAAAAATATCTTGCAGTATTTCTCTTCCTCAATATTAGTTAGTATTATATAAAAGCATGAATTCAGTTTTTAGTACTACTCAGTATTTCACAGTGTTACTCGGAATTAAGGGTTTCTCAGTATGCCATGATATGATTATAACAGAATGTTTGAGAGAATTTTCAAAGTAACCTTAAAATTGTTGTAATGCTCATGTTGTTTTAATGTTTTGTCTCGTCTGTTCTCCTCCACAGCGTCCCCGCAAACTTCAGCCATGCAGTTATACAGGAATGCCAAAACAACCCGAATAGCACTAGGTGTTCTTTTGACAATAAGGAATGGACCTTCATGATAACAGTCTATATCCTGATCGTCGCTGTGCTGGGAATCATGTTTAATCTGTTCGTCGTGATGGTATTCTGTCTCCACAAGAAGGCCTGCACTGTGCCTGAGATCTACTTGAGTAACTTGGCTGCTGCTGACTTCATCCTGTCGTCCTTTCTGCCCTTCTGGGCTGTGTATACAGCCAACAAATTCTCCTGGCCCTTCGGTAGTACCATGTGCCAAATAGCCGCTCTTTGCATCGTAATGAACGCCTACTGTAGCATCTACTTCCTCGTTCTGGTCAGCATAGATCGTTACTTGGCACTGGTGCACCCGCTGTCCCATGAAAGAATGCGCAGGCCAAAGTATGCCAAACTGGCTTGTCTGCTGGTGTGGGCTTTGGGCTTGCTCCCGGGTGTTCCTGTACTCATGTATAGGAAAGTGGAATACAATCCTTGCACGAATAAATATATATGCTTTATTGCATACCCAAGTACCAAGATAGAGCTGCTGTCTGAGGCTATGCTGATTACGTTCAGCTTCATCATCCCCATTTTCATTATTTCCTTCTGCACTTTCAAAATTATTCGAGCTCTGAATCACAGGTTAAATGCCCAGAATACGGAGCATAAGGCCACCACTCTGGTCCTGGCGGTCCTCTTGTCATTCCTGGTCTGCTGGGTGCCATTCCACCTGGTGAAGATAATAGAAATGCTTATTATTGCCAAGGTCTTGGAAGGGTGTGACCTTTACAGACACATAGAAGCCACCAAACTGATCGTCATATACTTAGCCTTCTTCAACAGTGTTCTCAACCCCATCCTCTACGTCATTGTGGGAAAAAAATTCAGAAAAAAAGTAAAGGAAGTCTTCAAGCAGTGGAGCGCTGGGAGAACATCGACCCTCAGCCTCAACTCTGTACGCTCATACCTGTCGAGAAGTGATAAAAGTGGGGATGTCTCGGGCAGATCTGCTAGACAGCAATCCTTTAAATAAGCATGCATGTTTATTTTAGATGCATGACGTAACCTTTGGAGGGTTACCCATTAGATCCTGTTCATTATGGTAGGGTTTGAACCCTCCCGCTTTCATTATTTGCTCCAGTTGGACCATAATCCAGGGCTTTAGGTAAGAGGAGGGAGAGTGTATGTGTTCAATGTATGCTGTCACACTACGCTTTTCACCTTGCTGGGATCTTTTCCCAGTTTTAAACCTTTCTTGACACACTCGCACATCCTCACGTCTTTGATGATTAGATGTGTTCGCAAACTTTCAAAATTCACTTGAGTGCGTCCGGCCTGTTTCATCTGGGCAACACTTCAGGAGGAAAGTAAGGCAGAGGGAGGACAAGACATCAACACCGAAGACGTCAACGCTCCGTGGTGTCAACGGACCACAAGAAACTAAGTGTGTGGCCATTTTTAATGCAATGGCTCAGATTCGTCTCTCTCTCTCTCTCATGACATCCTGTTGACATTTCGTAGGCCACCACTTCTGGTGCAACTCTACAGGATATGGACCTCAAATTAATGCATTTGCCATTCTAACACTTATGCCCCAACTGTTGTTTCATTGAAAATGCTTTCAGACTTAACACAATAATAATACTGCTACATAATTAAACAGCACTGTGTTTTATACTGCAGAAGTAATGGGCACAAAACTAAGATAATGGAAGTAATGTATAAAAGAGGCGGAAACAAAGTGTTTAAAGTCTTAATATGATACTTTAATTGTAGGATGTTCCATGTGGCTATGTGTGTCTGAATCTATTTCTCCATAGATAGTGTTGCTCTTACTGATATTTTAAGGCTAGATCAAACCCTGCCATATTATATATCCATGTAATATTACTGTAACCCTCTAACCGTAACCTTTCTGTCTGACACTGTAACTCTTGCATTTTCTTTTCCTTTGACTCTAAAAAGCATTACCACCTACACACTGTGTGCACATTTGCATACATTTGTTGATTTGTACAGATGGTTTACTTCAGTCACACATTCACAGTAACCTGAATAGTAGTGACCCACACAGTCACGCTGGTATCTCTTTACAGTGTGAACACACTTCACTGTTTCTGAAATAAGTATGTATGTTAATCAGTTGTGAAACTATTGCATAATCAACTTAATGTAACACCCAGAGTCGCATAAATGCAGCAGTAAAATCTTTTGTCAGCATTGCAAAGTTTGGACGAGGCTTTTCCACAATGAATAAAAGTAAAATTTCTTCTTGTTCAGGACAAAATATTGGAAATACCTTGGCAATAATGCCAAGAAATCTTTGTGCACACACACAACAGTGTTAGTTGGTCTAAGTCAAACTAACACATTGGTCTATAAGCTGTAATGAATGTTTTCAAGGAAGAGCTTGGGAATAATATTACAGTTGCCCTGCACTTTCTCTGTATTTACCAAGTTAAACTGGGAAATAGAACATCAAAGGAAACTGACTGGCCAAGAATCTACTTACTGATTTCCCAGAGATTAACAATGACAATGTTTTTACTGCTGATGAGAAATGTGGTGTTGAAAATAAGCAAAAGAGAAATAGAAATAAAAAGAAAATATAAATATTTGCTTTATGGTCAAAGTTCACCAAACTCACAGTAACATCTGTTTACATGTCTTGACATTTGAATGTGGGAATGAGACGATTTCTCTGTTTTTGCTGCACCCATTTCAATGTTTCAGAGGCGCAATGCTAAGTGGAGAACCCGGTTAATGTTCTCATACTCAGAGGAGATTTTATTTTCATTCATCACATCACAGATCACTGTCACAACTTTATATAGTCAGGTTCAACCTTGTTTTTCCACAAGACAGTCTCTCATGGTAACTGCATTTCTTGAAATGTCTGTATTACTCTGTACTTAGACTGCTTAAATACAATGTACATCATAATCACAATAAACATCTCAAACTCAACCTGTTTCCCAGAATATTTAACAGATTTTCAGTGTTACCCACATTCAAACTCGACTATAAAAAGGAGTTTGAAAATAAGAAAAAGCCTTATCTATGACTTATTCGTGTGTTAGACCATTTGCTGTTGCACAGACGTAATTGGGTGGATATCTCTTCTTTTTTAAACACTGAACCTCAGCCCCAGCAGCTGAGTTAATACAATAAAAACCAGGTCTCCCTGTTGGAGGCGCAGTCTGATCTAACAGAATCCTTCACTGCAGCACAATACCACTGATAACCCTGAATGATATTATATGCAAATAATGCTGTTCCTGGAAAGTTCTCTGCTGCACATACAGCTTGTAAAGACTATCCGGTAGTCACTGGTTTGCGATGGTGGAAGAAGTATTCACATCATATACATAAGTGACAGTACCAGTAATCCAATGTAAAAAATACTCTAATACAAGTCAAAATCCTGCTTTTAAATTCCATTTAAGTAAAAGTACAGATGTATTATCAACACACTTAATAGGATCAAACATAGAAGTACTTATGCTCCTTTTCAACAAGTTTAAATAAGTCTCAGAGGTCCCCAAAACATGTCTTTGAAGCTTCTTGCTAAAAAATCCACTCCGATCCTATATTTCAGCATGCCTGTAAACCCCTCTTTTTCAGCCTTGTTCAGAACAGGCTGTTTCTGTGTCTGTAGCTTTAAATGCAAATGAGCTGTGCCTGATCATGCCCCTCTCCGGAAGGGGATGCGGCTTGGGCTTCTGGCACCATGCTCTAATGTTTACGGTGACCGTGACCGGCGACTTGGCGTTCAAAGTGCTTTGGTTCAACCATTTGACTTTTATCCAGAATCTCACCCAGAGGGAGAGGCTGCTGAAGAAGTTCAAACTCTAAAACTGCAGCAGGATGTTTCTGAATGGTTGGTAACCAATTTTGTGTATGTTGACATTACATTTTCAGTTTGTTAATGTATGCTGGCACACAGTTACTAACATGTAGCTAGGTAGCTAATGCTAACTGTTACTGTCTCTTCATTACTGCGAGCTCTTTTGGTAAATAAGCACTATTGTGAATTGTGTAATGTAGTTATCTGTCATGCCTCCTTAGATATACTTTTACAGTCTATGAAAATGTTTGTTGACTGAGGACTTCTACAGGTGTTCAATGTCAAGACTAGTCAGATATTTTAATAGATCCTGACAAAGTAAATCATTTTGATTTTTATTAATTTTTCTCCATGTTTTGAGCAGATGCTCATCATGACATCTTCCTTTATGTAGTAAATTTATTTTGTGCATTACAATGAAAGCTGTAAATCAGCATAAACATGTCTGTCAGCAACATTAATCTTTAGTCAAACATGAGGCTGTGCAGTGTTTTCTACATTACACTGTTGTCAAGCTCCACAGTATATGCAATAAGTGACATGTTATAAATTACCTATGTTATATGCGCTTGATATGTACCCAAACTTACTTCTTACCCACCTTAGCTCCACTGTCTGTCAGTTTTTGAATTTCATAAGCTTTATATTCTGGTGAATGTTACCATTTTTCTCTATATTTTGGATAGGTGTGGAAACTGTGCAACCATGCCCACAGAAGCTGAGAATATCTGCTGCTAGGAGATACCACAGGTAGCATTCTCACTAGACAAACTAATCAGTAATTTGTTTTGATTACATTACATTTATAATAAACCATAGCAATTACCATTTGTAATTCACTGTAGGTTACCAGATGGCTATGGGAGATCGAGGAAGATTTACCATGTATGGTAGACCGTCCTGGGTTGGAGCCGCTCTGCCTCAATGTGTACTCCCTCCAGAATGCCTGCAACATGTACTGCGCTGACTACGGTACTTTACGGTTGAGAGGAATACACCAGTACGTTTTGCTTCTTTGTAAAAACATAGTTTCAATCTAAATAAAAGATGTTAGGCAGTCTTGTTTTACTTCAGGGCACATAATTTTACAATAGTAAGAACACACCACAAATGGAGTAACACACCCTCAAATAAATTAGTTTAGCTGCTCTTTGATTTGTAAAGTTCTTCTATCAGCAGATAGTGTGCATATAATATATGAATTTCTTTAGTAATAATTAAGCATTTATTTACATCAAATGAGGCAGTTATAATCAGTGATAATAAAAAAAACTGTAGGATTCACTGGATCCATAAAAAAATTGTGAGACACAACATAGATATATGTTTGCAAGACTAAATGCCCTGTCCAGTTGTTTTAGTCGGTACAGGTATCTAGCCTATAGGAGCTTTGTAGGCTGGTGCTGGGGCTTCCTTGGTCGCAGAATATTGGTCGTCATTCCAGCTTGCGTGGTCCACGCACCCATGCGGAGTTTCCTGACACCACAGGCCGGTACGTGAGTTTTAGACTGCCCCATGATAGAATCGGGACACATAGGAGTTGACCTACTCCTTCTCCGGCCGCTAGAACTGTGCAGTGAGGTCCTCTGGGATGGGGATGGCCAAAGCAGCTTCCGTGTATGGTCCCAGGTCAACAAAGACTTTTTCAAATATGAGGTCCACCACATTCCCTGTTTGATAAAACACAAAAGATTTTGTTTACATTTTTCACTTTTTTGTTGTTTTTTACAAAACAATGATTGAAAGTCTGTTTCTAACTACCTCCTGACATTTTTTTTCTGTATTTTGTTGTTGGTGGAACTGTCATAACATTATACGTGCAATACTTAATACAATGTGTACAAAACATTTTTTGGTTGAAAAATAAAATAATATAACACTTATAGAATGTCGGCTCAGTCTTAACTGGTTTAACTCTGCATTCTCCCTTCATGGCCTTTGGAAAGTGGACCTTGAACAGTGGTTCACCTTCTTTTGTTTGGGCTTGTGGTCGGTCAGCATTTTCATTGTAGTACATGGCAGCCAGGTAGAGTCTGGAGGTACAGTAAAGAGAAAATCAAAGATGTTAATATTGACAGAAACCTTAGCCTACACACTCTCACAAGTTCTAAGTAACCACAGCTTCATTTACCTGCACAGCATTCTAAGACTGATAAATGATTGTTAGGTTTATCAAAAGTAGATGCACTTCAGATGGCTACAGACCTGTACTTCTGATGTGAGGCTGAATAGTCTTCAAGGATAACTGTGTGCCTACAGTGGGTCAGTCTGGCATGCAACATTCCTTGTTGCAGGAAGCTGTATAGATGCACTTGATGTGCTGGCCTGAACAGAGGAAACAGGTTACACCAACATCTCCTCAAATGTGTAGTTATGGCAACATCACGTTAGGATGGATTCAGCAATCTTCATCCAAACAAACTTGAGTACATCACACTCTTGCACCATGGAGTCCTCAGTGAATCAGCGTGTGATTCTGGCTGCCTATTCTCTTTTCTTCCATCGGGGGCTTTCCAGCAAACTGCCTGTCTCTGTATGTAGCCTGGAGGTTGATGAGGAATGGGAACAACATAGCAGTCTACCTTGTCAACCTGTCCATTTCTGATCTGCTCTACACAATTACTCTTCCTGTGTGGATTGAACTGGCCAAGGAGAGTCCTATAGGTGGTGGTCTCTGCAGCCTAGTGACTGTGATCATGTTCAACAGCTTTTACGTCGGCTCTGGCCTCCTTTGCTGCATCTCCGTTGATCGCTATGTAGCAGTGGTCTATCCTCTCCAGTTTCACTGGGTCAGGGAGGTGCGGACAGCAGCAGTTGTGAGTTTTGCTGTATGGGTTTTGGAGATTGTCATCCACATTATCTTACTTGACCACACAGGGGCGCTGCAAGCTTTCTCCTCAAGTGACTTGTGTGAGGATAGAGTACCCATGACACAAGAGAGTGCCAACCTTGCTCTCACTCGGTCAGCCTCGGTTTCCTGGTCCCCGTCTTCTTCATGACTTTTTGCTTTCAGCAGATCATGCGATCACTCAAACAGAGCACTTCCATCATGGTGGAGGAGTGCAGGAAAGTAGGACTGCTGTTGTTGTTCCTGCTTCTAACCTACACAGCAGCCTTTGTGCCCTACCAGACTGTCATGCTACTCAGGGCCATACTGGAGCCCAGAGCCTGCATCTGGGCCACAAAGCTCAGAGATCCATATCTTGTCAAAGTCACCACCACAACCATAAACAGTGTATTGGATCTTGCCCAACCTCACCACTCTCGTTTGGCATGACACTGATTGCTGATTTTAACACCACCTGCGCTGGTCAGTGATTTTAACCCTGTCCGGAGTACATATACAGGTAATATTTCATCCCCACCCACGTAATAATAACAGCTACAATGACCTACTGTTGTTTGATTTAAATCTCATTTGGAACATCATGAAGTCGATCTGAGTTTTTTTCCGTAACCCTAATGTTTATTTTTCTTCAGTTTAGTGTGAAATTTAATTTTTGTAAGAAAAAAATGTTTTTGATAATCTAATAAAAAGAAACATGTTCACACCAACAAGAGCCGCCAGAATGGCAATAGACTCTTAGTCTTGGTTTTCTTCATATTGCTACCATTGAAACAGATATTTTAAGGCTAGATCAAACCCTGCCATATTATATATCCATGTAATATTACTGTAACCCTCTAACCGTTCAAACCATTCAAACTCAACTATAAAAAGGAGTTGAAAATAAGAAAAAGCCTTATCTATGACTCATTCGTGTGTTAGAGCATTTGTTGTATTTCACAGACGTAATTGGGGGGATATCTCTTCTTTTTTTAAACACTGAACCTCAGCCCCAGCAGCTTCAACAAACCTTTATTTGGTGAAGGGTGAGTCCTCATTGGAGTTAATACAATAAACACCATGTCTCCCTGTTGGAGGCGCAGTCTGATCTAACAGAATCCTTCACTGCAGCACAATACCACTGATAACCCTGAATGATATAATATGCAAATACATGCAATATAATACAATAAACACCAAGTCTGGTTAAATGTCTTGACATTTGAATGTGGGAATGAGACAGTTTCTCTGGTTCTGCTGCACCCATTTTAATGTTCCAGAGGCGCAATGCTAAGTCAGTGGAGAACCCAGTTAATGTTCTCATACTCAGAGATTTTATTTTCATTCAGCACATCACAGATCACTGTCACAACTTTATATAGTCAGGTTCAACCTTGTTTTTCCACAAGACAGTCTCTCATGGTAACTGCATTTTTTAAAATATGTCTGTATTACTCTGTACTTAGACTGCTTAAATACAATGTACATCATAATCACAATAAACATCTCAAACTCAACCTGTTTCCCAGAATATTTAACAGACTTTCAGTGTTACCCACATTCAAACTTGACTATAAAAAGGAGTTTGAAAATAAGAAAAAGCCTCATCTATGACTCATTCATGTGTCAGACCATTTGCTGTTGCACAGACGTAATTGGGTGGATATCTCTTCTTTTTTAAATACTGAACCTCAGCCCCAGCAGCTTCAACAAACCTTTATTTGGTGAAGGGTGAGTCCTCATTGGAGTTAATACAATAAACACCATGTCTCCCTGTTGGAGGCGCAGTCTGATCTAACAGAATCCTTCACTGCAGCACAATACCACTGATAACCCTGAATGATATAATATGCAAATACATGCTGTTCCTGGAAAGTTCTCTGTAAAGACTATCCGGTAGTCACTGGTTTGCGATGGTGGAAGAAGTATTCACATCATATACATAAGTGACAGCACCAGTAATCCAATGTAAAAAATACTCTAATACAAGTCAAAATCCTGCTTTTAAATTCCATTTAAGTAAAAGTACAGATGTATTATCAACACACTTAATTGGATCAAACATAGAAGTACTAAAATTGCCATCATGACAGATATTAAGTATATAAGTAAGTATATATAATGTATATATACATTGTCAGATTGTTAATACTGACCCATTAATGTGTAAGTGTCGTTTTATTGTTGTAGTTGGTCGAGGTGGAGCAAGTTTTAACTACATTATTAGCAGAGGTGGACAGAGTACACAACTTCACTACTTGAGTAAAAGTACAGATACTCCTTGTCAAATATTACTCCAATACAAGTAAAAGTAGCTTAGTCAAAATATTACTTAAGTAAAAGTACTAAAGTATTTGCTTAAAAAATTGCTTAAGTAAAAGTATTTTAAAAAATATCTCAGGAAATACAGGAAAGAAAAGTAGCTTTATTGTCATTATACATGCACTGATGCGATTCTGCTAATGACAGACTCAAAAATAAACAAATAAAGGAAAGAAGCCTCAGAACACAGACTCAGCTGCATTCATCAACAAATTAAATTTCTTCATATTGAACACATGAACACATCATGAAGTATATTTACCAATACCTAAACATTTATCGGAACATTCAGTGTGTCCTTTGGTTAGCTTATTAGCATTTATCTTGCCAGTTCAAATATGTCTCACAACATTAGATTACCGTTTTTAAGCAGACAGAGTTTATAACAAAGTCTATTGGATCAGCTTTGCCTCTGATGAAATAACTGAGAGATTATAACATTCTCTCAAGTTAAACTACTCAAACTTAAAGAAGTCCTTATTCAACTTCAACAGAAGTTGATTTTCGAAGTTGTGAGAATCAATTCGTCCTCTTCTTGGGCTGAAGATAAGTCCAGCTGCACTAAACAGCCTTTCGCAGGCAGCAGAAGCTGGCAGGGAGCTTGAGTGACAGACTGGATACAGCAGGGAAAGAGGTCAACATGTCCATACCTTCAGCTGTACATGTCAGGTAGGCATCCAGTTGTTTTGTTGTTTCTTCTGCGTGTCCATGCCTCATGCTGGAGAAGAAATCATCTTCATCAGAAGTACTTGATGAGTCAGGCTGCTGCAGAGACTCATCGTGGTCAGCGAGGTGTCTTTTGATGTAACAGAGGCCTAAATGAGAAGAATAATAGTTTATGATTGTCAAAATTCATCAAGCAAAAACATAGTAATAAGAAATTGATCAGTCATAGTTTTTGTTCTTGCCTTGCTTGAGGACATCCTCATCACTGGTCCAGGATGTTTTGAATTTGGGCAGAAGAATGGCTGCCGCAACCAGCTCTGGGTCAGACATCATTTTCCCAAATGTTTTCTTCCGACCGTCAAGCAGGGCATCAACAAGCGGTTTGCAGAATCTAAGTGACACCCTTGCTCTCTCAAGCTTGGCAATGAGGGTTGTGATGGTAGGCAGCAGCCATCCCATGTGAACAGATTCTCCCTGTAGTATGTCAATAGCTTTGGCAACTGGAGCCATGGTGTTGGTGTATTCACCCAAAAAGAAAATATCAGCTGGACTGTACCTAAAACAGATTTAAAGAAAAAAGAAAAAAAGGAGAGAGCATATATTAATCTTACAAATTAATATATAAATTGCAACATATCAGATTACACAGAATGTGATGTAATAAAACAATTTCCCTTTGGCCAAAATCATCTACAACAATTACAATGATAAGTGATTAGAATAATAAATGTGACCATTACTTTTTTCTCCAGTCAAAGGATGTTAGAGAGGAAAGTATTATGAATTATTGAAAAATGTTCTACAGGTTCAGCATTATTAAGTTTTGTTGGAATAAAATGGAAAGCAAAACATCCAAACATTTACAACTTACATGGGTATATTGAGTGTAGCACAGACAGCTCTCATGGCCACCTCTCCTTGGTTTCTGATAATTTTGACGATGCACTCTACACCCAGATAGAAGGAATTCCATTGTGTTGCATTGGGCTGTACCAAATGAAGCTTGCAGTGTTCTTCTATCACCTCGGCAGCAGTAGTGGACCTTACAGTCTTGTTCCAGAGAGCCTGTGACTTTGAGAAAGCTGACCTTGACAGCCTCTTATATGCCTCTGTCTTATTTGCATTATTTGCATCCACTGTAGACACCAAATAAAGCAAATGGCAAGCACACCGATGATGCTTAGGGAGCTGGTACTGAAGGCCATCGTTGACGTCTTCTGCCACGATGTCTTCAACACTGATGAAATCCACCTCAACTTCCATCTCCTGAGTATCAGGGCCATCATCTTGAGTTGCTTCCTCCTCAGTTACTTCTTCAGGTGCAACATTGTTGTTTTCATCTTCTCCATAGACTCGGAAGGCCTTGACAAAATTCGAACCGTTATCAGTTGTTGTTCGGACGATTTTGTCACGGATTTCATACTCTGAATGTATGTCATTCAGTGCACCTGCTAAGACATCAAATGTATGAGCACCCTTTAACTGCTTACATGGGGGTCAGCCCTATGTTCCCACAGCCCTATGTTCCCACATTTCTAAGAATGTTTTGAAAATTAGGCCCTATTTTCCCACAGTCTTATATGTTCCCATAAGCCCATGTCCACACTAACCCGGGTAATATTTATCTGGTTAGCCCTTCCATCCACATTAGAACAGTGAATTCCGAAACTGAAAACGATGCTTTACAAAAACGATCACTGAGGTGCATAAATGTGAAGACGCCGTGGAACGTGGATACAAAGCGTTTTGAAAACGATTAGTGTGGATGGAGATCGTTTTCATTGTGAATGTGCATTTTTATATTTACCCAGGTTAATGTGGAAAAGGCCTAAGATTTTTCTCAAAAGGAAACCCTATGGTCCCATATTTCTTAACATAGGGCTGTGTGAACATAGACACGCTCCCCTTACATGCAAGACCAACAGACTGCCTCCGAAAAGTGCCAGGATCCAGCCAGTGTGCTGTGACTCCAATAAAGCTTCTCCTCCTTGCAGTCCAACAATCAGTTGTTGTTGCTGTATATGCAGTATTCTGCATTGCCTCTTTCACCTGCTTCTTCATCACTACTGTAGCATTATCAATTTTGCACCGCACAGTAGTCCGAGATATGACAGAACAGTTTGGCTGTAGATTTTGAACAAAGTTTTGAAATGATGGTTGTTCCACCAGTGCAAAAGGCTGGAGCCCTTGAAGTTCAGGATTGCATTGTCAACAGTTTTCTGGGATATTTGCTTTGTTTCCTCAAGCTTTTGCTGTTTGAGGTTTGAGGACGTTGTCCCAGCCTCACTCTCTCTCTTGCAGACAGCTGCGGTCAGTTGAGTATATTTTTGCATCTGACATCCATGCTTTCTCTACATAAGAAAATATAGAAAAGTGAATATCTTCAGTTAAATAGGCACTACAAGAACTTATATTGACATTTACCGATAAACAACTTATTGGCTAGTTTACTTTACTTTTATCATGCATCACAGCCAAAAATGAGCCGGATAATCCACATCAAAGACAGCCGCACCTCACTAACGCGCGCACACCCACTCTCTCTCACTCTCTGATATGAATTGTATAAAAAACATGAACAGAAAGTCAACTTAATCATTCAACTGCACTGCAACAGTTGCCATATTATTAAACCATTTAAAAATGGCAACTATTATACTACAAGCACAGACGTTTAAAATGTTCATCTGCAATTTAACAAACATTAAGCTAGCTAACAGTAGTAGCTACTTACCGCAACGTGCTTTTTGAGGTTGGAAGACGAGTTTTTGTAGGCCGTTATATAATTTGTTGGCGGTAAGCAAAGCAAACATTTAAACTGAAACGAATCAGTTTTCTGTAACAAAAATCTCAAACATGGGTTTGAGGTAAGGCCATGGGTGCTCGGTGGGAGTTTCTCCATGTGCTTCTCTAGTTTCTTCTTCCATCTCTTCGTATGGCATGACGTAGTACAGGTACAGCAATACGACTAAGACAAACCATGCGTGAATCAGCAGAAACAGTTTATTTTCTCAGAATATTGCCAAAAAGCTGACGTAAGCTCAAAAGTAGCGAGTAATGAGAGCATCAATTTAAATGTAGTGGAGTAAAAAGTACAATATTTGTCCTTCAAATGTAGCGGAGTGAAAGTAGAAGTGTCCCCCAAAAATAATACTCAAGTAAAGTACAGATACTCAAAAACTGTACTTAAGTACAGTACTTAAGTAAATTTACTTTGTTACTGTCCACCACTGATTATTAGTCCAGTGGTTCCCAACGTAGGGGTTGGGCTTCCCTCAAAGGTTCACAGGATAAATCTGAGGGTGTTGTGAGATCATTCATGAGATACAAAAGTGAATTCTGGATGATCTGGGTGGTGTTACAATCAAAGTTGTGAATTTGAACATGTAAATCTCAAGAGCCATGTAATTTCCATTTAATTCTATACAAACTCTCAGACACAGTTTAATCTTTGTGTTAGCTGGTGTCGAGTTTCAACACTGCGGAAATATACTGAAAGCCACTTTGGATGCCATTTTCATTTTTTTAGCATAACCAACCATGTTTCGCCAGGAACTATTTTGCATCACGAAGCTTATCTCAGTTCATCACAACACAAGAGTTTTCCATTGCCTTTCACATTTAGGTTTGGTCCTCATCACGTTAGGATGGATTCAGCAATCTTCATCCAAACAAACTTGAGAACATCACACTCTTGCACCATGGAGTCCTCAGTGAATCAGCGTGTGATTCTGGCTGCCTATTCCCTTTTTTTCCATCGTGGGCTTTCCAGCAAACTGCCTGTCTCTGTATGTAGCCTGGAGGTTGATGAGGAATGGGAACAACATAGCAGTCTACCTTGTCAACCTGTCCATTTCTGATCTGCTCTACACAATTACTCTTCCTGTGTGGATTGAATTGGCCAAGGAGAGTCCTATAGGTGGTGGTCTCTGCAGCCTAGTGACTGTGATCATGTTCAACAGCTTTTACGTCGGCTCTGGCCTCCTTTGCTGCATCTCCGTTGATCGCTATGTAGCAGTGGTCTATCCTCTCCAGTTTCACTGGGTCAGGGAGGTGCGGACAGCAGCAGTTGTGAGTTTTGCTGTATGGGTTTTGGAGATTGTCATCCACATTATCTTACTTGACCACACAGGGGCGCTGCAAGCATTCTCCTCAAGTGATTTGTGTGAGGATAGAGTACCCATGACACAAGAGAGTGCCAACCTTGCTCTCACTCGGGTCAGCCTTGGTTTCCTGGTCCCCGTCTTCTTCATGACTTTTTGCTTTCAGCAGATCATGCGATCACTCAAACAGAGCACTTCCATCATGGTGGAGGAGCGCAGGAAAGTAGGACTGCTGTTGTTGTCCCTGTTTCTAACCTACACAGCAGCCTTTGTGCCCTACCAGACTGTCATGCTACTCAGGGCCATACTGGAGCCCAGAGCCTGCATCTGGGCCACCAAGCTCAGAGATCCATATCTTGTCAAAGTCACCACCACAACCATAAACAGTGTATTGGATCCTATATTATACTGTTTAATCAGTGAAAGTGCTAAGAGCGAAGTCAGGAAAGCCCTCGAGAAATTCAGAGGACTTTTAATGTGGAGGAAATGGTCGGAAAGCTCTGATGGAGTTATTTTCATTTTTTTGTGATCATACTATTTCCCTAACTTGCTACGTCTTTCTTTCCAAGTCAAAGTGTATTTTATTTTTGCACAGCCTAATCCGGCGGGGGAGAGTTTAGCTTAAAAAGGCATCTCTCCTTGACTCTACCTCCCTCATTCAAAATGGCCGCCACTTTCTCCAACTGGTTAGGGGAGTTTGTTTGCTGAATCTGCTAGTGTGTCTTGTTCTAGTTGATGATAGTGTTGTTTGTGGTGGCAAGATAAAGGAGAAAATAGTTGTGGTGTGAGGAGCAGTGATGGCTGGCATTAGGGGAGTGACTCTGGGACGCCAGTGATCACTGTCTAGCCTCCTGGAGGTGTCGTGGGACCAACTAGACGAAACACTGGTGAAAGGAGGTTCCCACCTGATGACCCCAAAGACATGTTAGTTACCACTGCTCATTCATCTGTATAGCTGAATTAATAGTTATCATAGGACTTAGGATGTTAAGCTTAGGGAGCTATTCACTGAGTCTGGTCCATTTTCTACAGCACAAGTTTTTTGTGTTTATCTTAAATAAATACAGAGGGAGGGTCTATGTTTGTCTGCATTTGTGCTGTGCAGGCAAAAAAGGAAAAAAAGTTGCTCGTATGTTTTCTTTCACTCGAGAATATGCAGAGAAGTTTCTATGAATTGTGAGTTATCGAATTTGTGTAAAAGTGTGTATTTCCATGTATTGTCAGGTTTTTACCGAATGCCCAACCTCACCACTCTCGTTTGGCATGACACAGATTGCCTCTGGATTTTCATGAAGTTCCCTTGTGCCAAGGTCGAATTGACAAGAAATGGGAGGCAGGAGAGGAAATACTGTGGGCGGCTCTGCAAGTTGCTGCAGCTGTCTTGCTTCCACCTAACATTAGAATTTCACAAATTGAAAATGATCATGGGTTTGATAAATCACTATATCTTTAACAGCAGGCATTTTGACTTGTCCTAGCAGGAAAAGTGCAGGTGTAAACAAATTCATGTCTCCCAGTAAACCATGACAGCAAGCTGACATGCACAAAACCAGGACCTTGACACTGAAGCAACTGTGAAAAACTTGTCTTGTCTTTATTCTCTATGTATCACTTTCAGTGCCAGCCCTATATCCATCCAATAATTATGCTGTAAGTATTCTTTGAGCATTCAGTTAAACAAACAAGAATGCAATCAATCAGTGTTTCTTCAACAAGATTGTAGTCCCACCCTCTAACTCAAATTAATTGGATATTTATGAGTTTCACAATTTCACAGGTCAGACATACTCTCTGCAAAGTGAATGAGGCAATATCTATTCCAGACAGGAAGTAATTTTGTTGCAACACAATCTTCACTTAAATGAGTGTTGGTCAGATGCTTGTGCGACCACAGCTAGTGGAGCCTTCAGGCTTGATTTTATTTCTGTATAGAGGATGTGGGCTGATTTTAATACCACCTGCGCTGGTCAGTGATTTTAACCCTGTCCGAAGTACATATAGACGTAATATTTCATCCCCACCCACGTAATAATAACAGCTACAATGACCTACTGAACATCATGAAGTCGATCTGAGTTTTTTTCCGTAACCCTAATGTTTATTTTTCTTCAGTTTAGTGTGAAATTAAATTTTTGTAGAAAAAAATGTTTTTGCTAATCTAATAAAAAGAAACATGTTCACATCAACAAGAGCCGCCAGAATTGCAATAGACTCTTAGTCTTGGTTTTCTTCATATTGCTACCATTGAAACAAACAAATGTCATATCACTCATGTCTTTATATTTCATCTGAATCGGAAATGTTCTGCAGTGTTTCTTTTATCACTGTACTTAAGGTGTTGTGTTTGATTATCCTTATTATCATTATTACTTCTACTTTCTTCTGTGAACTGACACAATTTCAACCACTCAGGAGAACATCAATTGCTGATGTTAGAATAAAAAGTTTGAGGGGCATCCCGGTGGTCTATGGATTAGGGCGCTACGCATCCCTGGTTCATGTCCATCTGACCTTTGGTGTATGTCATTCCCATCTCTTTATCCCCTAATTTCCTGTAGAGTATCTGCAGGTACATTGCAAATCATTTTAAGTTAAGTTTAATTCACTAAACTCATCATTTCAAGTCTTTAGGTAAGAAGAGGTGGTCTGAAAATTAAAACTGGAGCTTTTAAATTGAATTAACATGAAATTAACAACGTTTACATATTTACATTAAATTAATGAGAAAAGATTAGTTGACTCCACTAAATTTCTTTCATATTTTGCAATGTAGTATAAAGTATATTTTCACCTGCTGTAGTAATTTTATACAATACTTTTGGGGCTGCCAGCAGATGTACCTTTTTAAGAGCTTGAAGTGAGATTGTTTCAACAGTAAATTTAGTGTACATAGGACACTGTTCAATCCTTTTTTGGGAAAGTTTCAGTCAGTGTCTGCAGACTTATTGCAAGCATCTAGGAAAATCATCGTCTAATAAAGACATTTTTTAATACCACACAGAAAGTGATTTACTAAAGGTCTTAAAAAGTCAAACTCAAACTGGAACTCATGTTCCCACATCTTAAAATATATTTCCTCTGTTTTTCTGTAGAATTGTTAATTGCATCTTCTAACATAACAATGTAGATACCAACACCGTTTGTTTAGAAACTCCCACATCTGGTTGAAGCATATTCTAAAACAACACTGACCTTAAACAAAATGTGTTGAGAATTAACATCTCGGAAAAACAAATCATCATAAGACTGCAAACAATAGTCGCAGAGTGTTTATACAATTGCTACAAGAAGGGGGAGGGGGGGAAGGGGGGTGGAATTAAGAGGGAAGGAGGAGCAACAGGGCATGTCAACTCATATTTCCAAGAATTTCTGACATCACTTTGATATCAGATCACTTACTCCTTTAGGAGAGCAAGTCGAAGGCTGAAGACAAGAGCAGAAGGCACTGCAAGAGTGTAGACGGGATTCTTGACATTTTACATCTTGACTTTATCAGACAGAATGTCTCTTCCTCCCACAAGGTATGCATAAGTTTCATTATTACTTTTCTATCTTTTACCATTATTCGTCACTCTTAAAATATGAATGATCATCAATGACTTAATTTTCCATATTGTTCAACATCAGCAATTGTTTGTGCTTTACAACACTGTCTGTTAATGACAATATAAACAAGCTTCATAAAACTGATCTGGGTTTAATTTAGATGTGCACAGCCTGCTCAGATAAATTATACAGGTTTTGACACCCAGTGGTTTTCTCGTGCCAATATCGGTACTCCGGCAATGTCCTGGTATTTGTCTCAACATGTTTAGTGTCAAGCAATGGTCTGGATAAACAAGTACTAGTACATTTGGCAGTTAAATCTGTTGTACCGTGTGCACTCTGCTGAGTGGTTTATGTAGGGACCAATGTGCACAAAAAATGACTAAACAAATACGACAGTAGTTTATCCAAACAAAAGTGGATCTTGCTATAGTCTTAGTTGATACTACACTGAAGGTTCCCAGCCACATGGGAAATGTCAATATTGCAGTGCATGGTCAACGCCTTAACCCGGGAGGCCAGTGGCTCATCTCAGAACATTTTCTTTTTCTTTTATTACTCTGAAAAGAAGCAGGCACCCATTTATGTGCATTTATGAATTTCCCCTAGGGGATAAATAAAGTATCTATCTAGATGTCATCAACATATTTTTCTTTAACCATAAAGTGTTTGTGAAAACAAAATTTTTCACCTTTTTTTTGCACTTTGCCCACATTGAAATAGTATGGTTTTTTTTTAAGGTTTTTTTTGTTTTTTTTCCACAAAGCAGGTCCTACAACTAATCTTAATCAGTCAAATTCTAATAATTATAAATGGCACAATGGTAGTCTGGTTAGTGTCTCACATCTGCATACAACCTGTTCTCTGCTTAGTGTTTATTTTGTTCAGGGTTGTGTCAGCCAGATGCAGCCAGTCAGACAGAATAATAAATCACTTTTCACAAAATAGAAGTTTTTCATTAATTTTCATGAAATAAATTCAACATAATACTTTTTGTTTATTCTGCATTCCAGGTAGTATCAATCAATTTGCCATTGTGTTGCTCTGATCATGTAAAAAGAACTTGATCTTAATCTAAAATTACTCACTCCTTTTTCCATATCTCTACAACTCAAGTCTCAAAGCCAAACAATGTGTTCTCTCAAACCAGTATTCAAGATCCTTTAACATAGAACAACTGGGTATATTAATGAAAATTGCAATAGAAATAGCCTATTAATTGGCATCATTACAGACTATAAACAGTCTGCAGAGTTTTGTGAGAAGTCAAACTTTAGTTGACTTCATTTGAATAGCTGCAGCATCTGGGTAGCAGACAGACTCATTATAAAAATAGCTTAACATCTCTGGGGACTAGGTTAAACTGGAAAAATATTTTACAGTATTTCTTTTCCTCAGTATTAGTATTAAATAAAAGCATGAATTCAGTTTTTAGTATTATTCAGTATTTCACAGTGTTACTCGGAATTCAGGGTTTCTCAGTATGCCATGATATGATTATACCAGAATGTTGGAGAGAATTTTCAAAGTAACCTTAAAATTGTTGTAATGCTCGTGTTGTTTTAATGTTTTGTCTCGTCTGCTCTCCTCCACAGCATCCCCGCAAACTCCAGCTGTGAGGCTATACAGGAATGCCAAAACAACGCAAATAGCACTGCGTGTTCTTTGGACAACAAGGGATGGACCGTCATGATAACAGTCTATATCCTGATCGTCGCTGTGCTGGGAATCATGTTTAATCTGTTCGTCGTGATGGTATTCTGTCTCCACAAGAAGGCCTGCACTGTGCCTGAGATCTACTTGAGTAACTTGGCTGCTGCTGACTTCATCCTGTCGTCCTTTCTGCCCTTCTGGGCTGTGTATACAGCCAACAAATTCTCCTGGCCCTTCGGTAGTACCATGTGCCAAATAGCCGCTCTTTGCATCGTAATGAACGCCTACTGTAGCATCTACTTCCTCGTTCTGGTCAGCATAGATCGTTACTTGGCACTGGTGCACCCGCTGTCCCATGAAAGAATGCGCAGGCCAAAGTATGCCAAACTGGCTTGTCTGCTGGTGTGGGCTTTGGGCTTGCTCCCCGGGGTTCCTGTACTCATGTATAGGAAAGTGGAATACAATCCTTGCACGAATAAATATATATGCTTTATTGCATACCCAAGTACCAAGATAGAGCTGCTGTCTGAGGCTATGCTGATTACGTTCAGCTTCATCATCCCCATTTTCATTATTTCCTTCTGCACTTTCAAAATTATTCGAGCTCTGAATCACAGGTTAAATGCCCAGAATACGGAGCATAAGGCCACCACTCTGGTCCTGGCGGTCCTCTTGTCATTCCTGGTCTGCTGGGTGCCATTCCACCTGGTGAAGATAATAGAAATGCTTCTTATTGCCAAGGTCTTGGAAGGGTGTGACCTTTGCAGACACATAGAAGCCGCCAAACTGATAGTCATTTACTTAGCCTTCTTCAACAGTGTTCTCAACCCCATCCTCTACGTCATTGTGGGAAAAAAATTCAGAAAAAAAGTAAAGGAAGTCTTCAAGCAGTGGAGCGCTGGGAGAACATCGACCCTCAGCCTCAACTCTGTACGCTCATACCTGTCGAGAAGTGATAAAAGTGGGGATGTCTCGGGCAGATCTGCTAGACAGCAATCCTTTAAATAAGCATGCATGTTTATTTTAGATGCATGACGTAACCTTTGGAGGGTTACCCATTAGATCCTGTTCATTATGGTAGGGTTTGAACCCTCCCGCTTTCATTATTTGCTCCAGTTGGACCATAATCCAGGGCTTTAGGTAAGAGGAGGGAGAGTGTATGTGTTCAATGTATGCTGTCACACTACGCTTCTCACCTTGCTTGGATCTTTTCCCAGTTTTAAACCTTCCTTGACACACTCGCACATCCTCAAGTCTTTGATGATTAGATGTGTTCACACACTTTCAAAATTCACTTGAGTGCGTCCGGCCTGTTTCATCTGGGCAACACTTCAGGAGGAAAGTAAGGCAGGGGGAGGACAAGAAATCAACACCAAAGACGTCAACGCTCCGTGGTGTCAACGGACCACAAGAAACTAAGTGTGTGGCCATTTTTAATGCAATGGCTCAGATTCGTCTCTCTCTCTCTCATGACATCCTGTTGACATTTCGTAGGCCACCACTTCTGGTGCAACTCTAAAGGATATGGACCTCAAATTAATGCATTTGCCATTCTAACACTTATGCCCCAACTGTTGTTTCATTGAAAATGCTTTCAGACTTAACACAATAATAATACTGCTACATAATTAAACAGTACTGTGTTTTATACTGCAGAGGTAATGGGCACAAAACTAAGATAATGGAAGTAATGTATAAAAGAGGCGGAAACAAAGTGTTTAAAGTCTTAATATGACAATTTAATTGTAGGATGTTCCATGTGGCTATGTGTGTCTGAATCTATTTCTCCATAGATAGTGTTGCTCTTACTGATATTTTAAGGCTAGATCAAACCCTGCCATATTATATATCCATGTAATATTACTGTAACCCTCTAACCGTAACCTTTCTGTCTGACACTGTAACTCTTGCATTTTCTTTTCCTTTGACTCTAAAAAACATTACCACCTACACACTGTGTGCACATTTGCATACATTTGTTGATTTGTGCAGTTTGTTTACTTCAGTCACACATTCACAGTAACCTGAATAGTAGTGACCCAACAATGACAATGTTTTTACTGCTGATGAGAAATTTGGTGTTGAAAATAAGCAAAAAATAAATAGAAATAAAAAGAAAATGTAAATATTTGCTTTACAGTCAAAGTGCACCAAACTTACACTAAAGTCTGTTTACATGTCTTGACATTTGAAAGTGGGAATGAGACGATTTCTCTGGTTCTGCTGCACCCATTTTAATGTTCCAGAGGCGCAATGCTAAGTCAGTGGAGAACCCAGTTAATGTTCTCATACTCAGAGATTTTATTTTCATTCAGCACATCACAGATCACTGTCACAACTTTATATAGTCAGGTTCAACCTTGTTTTTCCACAAGACAGTCTCTCATGGTAACTGCATTTCTTGAAATGTCTGTATTACTCTGTACTTAGACTGCTTAAATACAATGTACATCATAATCACAATAAACATCTCAAACTCAACCTGTTTCCCAGAATATTTAACAGGCTTTCAGTGTTACCCACATTCAAACTCGACTATAAAAAGGAGTTTGAAAATAAGAAAAAGCCTTATCTATGAGTCATTCGTGTGTTAGACCATTTGCTGTGTTGCACAGACGTAATTGGATGGATATCTCTTCTTCTGTAAATACTGAGCAGCTTCAACAAGCCTTTATTTGGTAAAGGGTGAGTCCTCATTGGAGTTAATACAATAAACACCACGTCTCCCTGTTGGAGGCGCAGTCTGATCTAACAGAATCCTTCACTGCAGCACAATACCACTGATAACCCTGAATGATATAATATGCAAATACATGCTGTTCCTGGAAAGTTCTCTGCTGCACATACAGCTTGTAAAGACTATCCGGTAGTCACTGGTTTGCGATGGTGAAAGAAGTATTCACATCATATACATAAGTGACAGTACCAATAGTCCAATGTAAAAAATACTCTAATACAAGTCAAAATCCTGCTTTTAAATTCCATTTAAGTAGAAGTACAGATGTATTATCAACACACTTAATAGGATCAAACATAGAAGTACTAAAAATTGCCATCATGACAGATATTAAGTATCCATTAATGTGTAAGTTTTATTGTTGTAGTTGGTCGAGGTGGAGCAAGTTTTAACTACATTATTAACCAGTCCAGTGGTTCCCAACGTAGGGGTTGGGCCTCCCTCAAAGGTTCACAGGATAAATCTGAGGGTGTTGTGAGATCATTCATGAGATACAAAAGTGAATTCTGGATGATCTGGGTGGTGTTACAATCAAAGTTGTGAATTTGAACATGTAAATCTCAAGAGCCGTGTAATTTCCATTTAATTCTATACAAACTCTCAGACACAGTTTAATCTTTGTGTTAGCTGGTGTCGAGTTTCAACACTGCGGAAATATACTGAAAGCCACTTTGGATGCCATTTTCATTTTTTTAGCATAACCAACCATGTTTCGCCAGGAACTATTTTGCATCACGAAGCTTATCTCAGTTCATCACAACACAAGAGTTTTCCATTGCCTTTCACATTCAGGTTTGGTCCTCATCACGTTAGGATGGATTCAGCAATCCTCAACCAAACAAACTTGAGTACATCACACTCTTGCACCATGGAGTCCTCAGTGAATCAGCGTGTGATTCTGGCTGCCTATTCTCTTTTTTTCATCGTGGGCTTTCCAGCAAACTGCCTGTCTCTGTATGTAGCCTGGAGGTTGATGAGGAATGGGAACAACACAGCAGTCTACCTTGTCAACCTGTCCATTTCTGATCTGCTCTGCACAATTACTCTTCCTGTTTGGATTGAACTGGCCAAGGAGAGTCCTATAGGTGGTGGTCTCTGCAGCCTAGTGGCTGTGATCATGTTCAACAGCTTTTACGTCGGCTCTGGCCTCCTTTGCTGCATCTCCGTTGATCGCTATGTAGCAGTGGTCTATCCTCTCCAGTTTCACTGGGTCAGGGAGGTGCGGACAGCAGCAGTTGTGAGTTTTGCTGTATGGGTTTTGGAGATTGTCATCCACATTATCTTACTTGACCACACAGGGGCGCTGCAAGCTTTCTCCTCAAGTGACTTGTGTGAGGATAGAGTACCCATGACACAAGAGAGTGCCAACCTTGCTCTCACTCGGGTCAGCCTCGGTTTCCTGGTCCCCGTCTTCATCATGACTTTTTGCTTTCAGCAGATCATGCGATCACTCAAACAGAGCACTTCCATCATAGTGGAGGAGCGCAGGAAAGTAGGACTGCTGTTGTTGTCCCTGCTTCTAACCTACACAGCAGCCTTTGTGCCCTACCAGACTGTCATGCTACTCAGGGCCATACTGGAGCCCAGAGCCTGCATCTGGGCCACAAAGCTCAGAGATCCATATCTTGTCACAGTCACCACCACAACCATAAACAGTGTATTGGATCCTATATTATACTGTTTAATCAGTGAAAGTGCTAAGAGCGAAGTCAGGAAAGCTCTAGAGAAATTCAGAGGACTTTTAATGTGGAGGAAATGGTCGGAAAGCTCTAATGGAGTTCAGTAATTTTCCTAAGTATTATTTATTTGTTTTGTTTTTAACCTGCAATTACAAAAAGGAAAGCAAATTGTTTTTGACTGTGTAATTTAAGAGGTGTTCATGTACTGAAGGCTTTTATAAGAGACAATGTTATGTCGACATTTTATATTTCATTGTATTGGCCAAATAATCTCTGATATTCCTGTGATGTACATTGGTTGACTGTGGCATAAACAAGATCACATTACCATTTATTTGTGAATTGATTTTTCATTATTTAAGAGTCATTATTTAAGTTTCATTAACTGACTTTTATGCTGCATCCATACATTGACATGGTTATTAGTCCTTTTCAGTACACTTTGTGCTTCCACAGACAGTATTTGTTTGCTGAGCCATTGCTGCACTATAAGAACACAAAGAAAGAATTTGGTACTAAAAACATTAGAGGATCCCTAGTTGATTTGTCTAACTTTGATGAAGTCTCATTAACTTTGGCAGAACTTTTTAAATCATTTTACACTGAAAGATGACTGGGTCCCCCATCGTTTACATTGAAATTGCTTTAACAAGGGACAAAGCAAACATAATGCTTACAATGTACATCTGGACATTCGTGTATAGTTTTGAAGACAGAATTTTAAAAATGTTTGTCCCGACCCTTTAAGAGCACATAGGCTCAGCCACAACAAACATAACCAGCAGCTATTACAACATAACTGCGCTATGGAAACAATTAGTCAAGCCGACGTGTATTCCTTTATCAGACAATAATAGGCATCACCTTTACCGGAGACCATATCCATATTGACACAACAAACATAAAGACAAGCAGTCTCATATTGAATCAGTGCCCAAATTAAACCTGCCGTGTGGCCCTTTAAACTGTTTGTTCTGTCATGGCCTGTCACCCAGTAAATGACTTACGGTAGTCAGGGACAACAAGGAGGCAGCTGCAGACTCTTCCTGTTTCTTTAAACTGGTCATTAAGCAGAAGAAGATTAGAGAACTGAGTGAATCCATCTGTTTTAATGTCTCCATTTTGATAATGAAGTTTGGAGAAGAAGCACGACGTGGAACGTGAAGAGTAAGTAAAACTTTATGAGCTTTCAAGTTGAAGTGAGTTTATGCGTTTCCTTGTAAAAAGAAAAAAAAACTTAAAATAAGATTACGTATGTTTATGGCTGAGTCATAAAGACAGCAAGTTTTGGTAAATAAGTGAGTTGATTTGAAAACCTACTCAAATGTACTAAAACTGTAAGTTTCCTTGATGGTGAAAACAAATCTCAGACCTTTGCCAGGATGTTCAACAGTAAGACTGTTTTGTCATCAAATGGCTAAAATGACCACAACTACTTTTAGTGTTGTAGTTCCAAAACGTTTGAAACTCCAAAAACACTGGATCCTACATTTCCCATAATGCAAGTCAGTAGCATGTTTCATTAGATTCTCTGTGACTGGTAAATGCCCATGTCTATCAAACTCCACTAACCCAGTTTGTAACAAAAGCCTTCTGCATGTTTAATCTCAAAGTCCAAGCCAATATAACACTAACGGCTCATAACCATAATGGCATTTTCAGGATAATGTTTATGTTTGGTATGAACTTGTTTCATTGGCTAATACATTGCTAAAGTATTTTTAAACCCCAATATGCCTCAGAAATCTAATATCAGTCAGGCTATATTGTGTCATGATTTCTGTCTCATTCCTGTTTATTGGCCTCCTGTCATAATTCATCCACCCACTGGATGTCCAGACTTTCTTCCAGTGTCCAGATCCACTTGCTCACCTGTTTTCTATTTCCATTCACGAGACCTTCCCTGCCTCCCTACACACCTGTTCCTCATTGCCCTCATCTGCTATATTTATGCCAGGTGCCCCCCCCCCCAGTCAGTGACCTGTTGCAAATGTCTCTGTGTTTCCCTTCGTGCTGCTCATGGTGTGGAATCCCGTTCCGGCTACCTGTATGTAGTTACCTGTTTTCTGTATCTCTGCCTGCCTGCCTTCCGTCCGATCGTCTGTCTGTAAGCCTCATCACAGCCACTTGCACCAGAACTGCCTGTGCTCCTACCAGCTGTGTCAATACTGACTGTACTCTTTTACAAGTAAACTAAACTTGGTGAGTAAAATTGATGGAGTAGCCCCTTAACCAAAAGGTTTAGATATTTAAATGCATTGCTGTGACCCTTCCTTATGTCCTTTGTTTCTCTACAAGGTGTGAGCATATGAACATCACACTCCGCGATGGAAAACTTTACCCTGGCCATCAACCATTCAGACTGTTACTTGGATGATAGCGCATCAAGGAGGAAGTTGTTTCTATTTTTCTACTTGACTATCATCATCACTGCCATCCCGTCCAACGCTTTCTCCCTCTATGTGTCATGGCAGCACATTAGACAGAAGAATGAGCTTGGTGTTTATCTGTTCAACCTTGCCCTCAGTGACCTGACCTTCACTGTTGGGTTGTCTCTGTGGCTGGACTTCCTGTGGCGAGGAATCTGGGCCCATGGAGGTTACGTATGTGTGCTTTCTGTCTACTTTCTTTTCACTAACTTTTACACCAGCGATGCTCTACTCTGCTGCATTGCTGTTGACCGCTACTTGGCAGTGGCTCACCCGTTAAAGTACACATCCTTGAGAAAAGTTGGCACTGCAGCAGCAGTTAGTGTTGCCATTTGGGTGTTGGTGATCTGTTTCAATGCCACCACCATCACATGGAAGGACACTTATCAGGAAAACAACACATTTTCTGTGTGCTTTGACATCTTCCTCCCACTGTCAGAGAATCTGGCTCGTGCTAATGTAGTGCGCTTCTTCCTGGGGTTTATTGTTCCCGTTGTCCTGGTGGTGTTTTCCAGCTGGGGGATCTGTCTGGCGGTGAAATCCAACCAGGCCACAGAGGAGCAGGAACGTAAACGGATTTGGAAGCTGCTGACAGTAGTTCTGCTCTGCCTTTTGTTCTGCTTCGGACCTATCCACGTCATGATGCTTCTCCGCACACTGGTGGATGACTGTAGGACTGCTGCGTGGCTACTCTATCCCTACAAGATCAGCATTGCTATCTCAAGCCTCAACTGTCTTGCAGACCCACTCCTTTATTGCTTCATCACTAGAACAGGACAGGCCAATGTTAATCAGGTTGTTCTCTTCCTCCAGGGAAAGAAGAGAAGCAAAGAGGAAGGTATGGTATAGGTTTAACAGCAGTAAACACATCTGGAGAGGGTCCTGTGTTTTAAGATGTATAAAAATACTCTGCTTTGAATAATAATTTAGTTTACTGTCTTTAACAGACAGTTCACTTTGCACGTACCACTCTATAGAGGTACTTTATTAACATCAACATGTTCACTTCATCAGCACTGAGACATGGAGAACAACTGTTCCAGGGTGAACAAACATTTCCCTGAAGAGGTCCAAAGGAAATAAATGGATTTTGAATGCAAATTTGACGCCAGTCATCATTTGAATAAGGCTGCAGTTGGAAAACAATATTTGGGGTTTTTTTTTTAACGAACCATGTGGCTTTTATTATAGGACCATATGACGACACATTCTACTGTAGTCTCACTTCAACACGCTATTTGTGGTCGGATAAATGTGGATCAGGTGCACATTTGCATTTTAGAGACAGAAATAAAAAATGGTGTTCCTCTTAAGTACAATCATCCTATAACAAAACATTGTACATGCATTTTGGAAGATTCAGTGCCAAACTCATTGATCATAATCTAAAATGATGTGAACTTGCAAATTAAAGGCTCAAAAATAATTTCAGGAACAAACGTTTCTTTTAAGCTATTTAAGTTATGTCAAAGCAATTGCCATTGTCCAATATGTGGATGTCTCATCTTAAAATCAAACTAAATATTTTAGTTTAATGTTTTCTGTTCAGTGTTTTCCACTGCAAACTGCTCCTGAAATTAATATTTAGCATTTTCTTCATTCACTGGTTCTTATCGTGGTAATTATTCCAAGAAGTTCAGCTATTTGAAAGGGAAGTTGGCCAAAAAAACAAAAAACGTACATGTATAAAATTTTGATGACAGACTATAGAATGTATCCATTTATATACGAAGAAAATAAAAAATATTTTATACAATACTCATACTTTATCTGTAGGTTGTGTCATGTATTCACAAAAAATGTTAAGTGCTTTTATCTGCAGGTCTACACTGTGGCAAACTGCACTTATGACAAACATGGATATCTGAAGCTCTCTAGTGGACAATTCTGGTAGTGCGGCAAGCTGTCTACACTGTTCACACTTGGAATATTTAAACATTTCAGATAAACCTCTTGTGTGTTACTGTTGCACAAATCGATTTATCACATAATTTGTAGTGTTTTATAACCGCTATTCAATCTAATATTTAAATACAGACATGCCATAAATATTGTCCTCTGTTATCTTTATTTTGTCCACATGATCTGATGACCTCAGATTTGATTACTGACTCTTTAGTGATAAGAAAACCATATAGAAACTCACATTCCTGCAAAACACACACACACACACACAAATGTACAAAGACTCACACATTTTGACCATAGGAAAGTTTAACCTTGTGAGGATGTCCCCTATTGGAAGTGAGTCCACATAATGTGACTGTGAGAACATACACCCTTTGAAAGTGTGTTCTTGAACTTCATTTTGACAGAATACCACGACAATTTAATGCACCTCACGTTTTTTTCCTCTGGTATTTAAAATGCGTGACACTACTCGCTTTGCCGTCATGCCTCCATAACAACAAAAGCTGGAGAGGACATGTGCTCCCCCATGTGAGTCTTTGTCCCTCCTGCCTCTCTCTTCCATCCATCCATCCATCCATGTCAGATAATATGCTTCACTTAACAGTGAATAACCTGCATCAGCAGAACCTGGGGGCTATAAAGCCCATCTGAATACCCATCCTCTCACCTTCAACTGTCCTTGACTGTGGAACACACAGCCTTCTTTATATGTGTGTAATACAAGTGCACGTGGAGATGGAGATACCTGAAGAGCAATAGGTTTGGTCAGTGCATCCCAGTGTCTACCTGGATTTTGGCAGAGTTTCAGCAGTGGCACGTGTGAGAGAGCGTGCTCCCTCTCGGGCATGATGAATGAATGGGACTGTAATCTACACTAGTGATCTGACGGCATGCACACGTGTAATTGAAATATGATCCTCATTGGAATAAAAAGGTATAGTGCTCAAACCAAGCTGGGATGGGGATCAAGGATGTATATCTTTTATCTTGTTATTAAAGGATCCACCTCATTAAGGGATCCACCTCATATAAAAACAAAAACAAAAAATTAAGTAGAAAGCAAAAAACTGTTTTGAATCAGGTGGAATCAGCTACATTTTGGCCAATCCCATCCCTAGCAGCTGTGACTGGCGCTGGGTGTTGGCAGGCGATCTGTGGGGGAATACTCAGGGTAATGTACACATACACGTGCTGCAGAGAAAATCTGAACCAAATACACACATGTGCTAAAAAAGGAAACATGGACAAATATAGCAGTCTAGGGTTGTGTGCTTACAATATTACATAAGCAATTCATAATCTAAACTAAGAATAGAATCAATGTAGCTTTAATAAATCAAGCAGTCAGTGTGGTTTATTAACATTCAGCAGTTTGCTCCAACTATAAACTAGATTTGCTGTAGTAAAAATATCATATTTCCTTCCTCTGAATCATTAGCCTGAAATATTTTTCCTTTCTTTATTGCTGGCACTCTTTTGTCTATTTAAATTATTCATTACTCTTATCTCAAACCCCTAATACATCTGCTTTTCTCAGAGACATCTGTGCCCGCTCGCTCCCAATCTATAATCCAAACTGTCTCAACTGTCTCTCACTTGTTTCTCGCCCATTTTCCAAATGTGCGCATGCAGCCTGACTAATAACAGCTATCTTCAGTCACTGAGGAGCGGTGGAGCAGAGAGCAATGGAGAGCTCTTTGTTTGAAGTATTGGAATTTGTAATGGAGTTTTAGTTTGTGGAGCGAAATGTTGCTAAACAAAAAACTCTGTGCTAGCGTTTGATTTTTTCCTGCAAGGGCATCAAGTAATTTTCAGCTCTGACCAGAGGGAATTGCAAGAACACTGATCACATTCATTTTTAATATTTGTTGTCTTATTTTGTGCTGCCATAAATGTCTCTTTATATTTCTCCATGTCGGGTGATGTATAGTATCCTACTTTTGGTTTCTGTCTTAACAGTTTGCATTATAAGCAACAAATCAAAATCCTTTAATAATTTTGTCACCAACTTGCAACATTGTGACAATATTGTGCTCTAAAGGTAAACTCTACAATTGATATCTTCAAAACATACATACATCAACAAAACTGTCATTGTTATCGACCCCATTCAGTCCAAAATCTGTCTAAAGTTCAAACCCCAATCAAGAGTTTACACTTTTCCGTTTTCATCATGTGATGTGTTTGATTTGTCAGTTTCTCTTTGCTGGTTTGCATGACATCATATTACACCTCTCTTCACTTCAGCATCTCAGCTGCCAGACACGTTGTCAGGCAGATTTCACATCTCCCTCCTGTTGCATTTGATGTCAAACATGCTGGGCTCCTGCAGGCGACCGTCTGACACTCCCTCCAACCTTTCCTCTTCATCATCCTTCCTGTCGCTCTCAGCACTTTCACACTTTTCCTCCTTCCTCACAACAACTACTTGTTCTGGCAACAGCCTCTCCAAATCTTGTGGGGAAATTTATAATCAGACTGAAAGTGGGGAAACAACTGTTGGCATTATGATGATGTCAGGGGCAGATTTAAGTTTACTGTGTTAGGTGACGTATTTCTTTCTTTAACTTCATTTTGCTGAAATTATTGTTACAAACTGGATCTAGCTTATCTCATTTAAACCAACTACAAAGACCAAACAATACATTTAACAGAGTTATTTGCAGGTTTTGCTATTGCTACATAGCCAGCATTAGCATCAACAGCTATTTACTTGTCTAGAAGAAATGTTGAGCCTCTTTATTCCTTCACTCACCAAGAGATGTCTCCAGTGGTGGAAAGCAACTGCAACATTAACTCTTGCTCTATTACATCCTTTCTTCTACTGAAGTTAGCACGCTACCCAACTAGCCCCGGCCCATCTCGACACTTTCTGATAGCGACTCACTGTAGCCTCCAGTCTTCCCTGTCGACATAGCACTGCTCAGAGGGCGTATTATAACCTCCAACAACGACCGAAGCTCTTGTCAAGTGACAATCAGGGGTGACTCCCGGCAAGAAACCAAACAGCCCCTTTAATATTTGAAGTGAAAGCTTTAGTGTGTTAAAAAGTTGCAAAATGTATAAACAAATCAAACAGTGGAACAGCTGAATCCATCAAAAAAGGTCGAACTGGGAATGTTGGAAGATGCAGCAGTGTAGATCAGGTGTAATCAATCGGAATGATTATGGATCAGATAGAACCTGCCTCCATTTTAGCTGGTGACTGACAGGACATTTTGTTGTCTTGTTGGATGACTTGTTTTTGTTTTTTGTTTTTTTTTTATATAGGCTATTCCTATGTGGTGCTTTTTCTTTTGCAAGATTTATCAGATTTTAATCTGGGTAAAAAAATAAAAGTAATAAATAAATAAAATCATATCCAAAACAAGAGATTCAATTGATGAAAAGTGTTTAGAAGTCAGTTTGCAAACCAACTTCATAAATAGATAGCTCATGGATCTTAAAACATTTTTTTTCTTCCTCTACTTTTTTTCTACTTACAGTTTATGAATGCCACCTTTGGTAAGTGTATTGTTATTGTAGTGAATTTCGTGCTTTTGTAAGTTTGTAATTCTGTTTTTTCTTTTTTTTTTTTATAAATCGTCTTAGGCGGTAAATTTAGGATCAGTGATTTGCTGTTTTTCATCTCAGTCAGCCCTTCAGGCAGTCGTGATTTTTGCAGTTACCCTAAAACAGCACAGATACTTCCTCAGAGGTTAGTCTCGCCCACAGCCTTGGCAAGTCACACTACTTTGCAGGTCAAAGATCAGCAAAGGGGAACTCTGTACAGGAAGGATGATTTGAGATCCTAGTTATACTGACTATCCTGAATTTCAGTGTGAGAAAAGCTTCAGTTTGGGGTGCAGAATTACCTGCTATATGTGAGCTTTATGCATGACTAAACCTGTGTAAACACAGGGAATGAGTTAACCCCCACAGTGCCTTCTCTTCTGGGTGATTCATGGCTATTTCTGATCATGTTTTAAGAGAACTGAGAGTGGGTGGGAGTCAATATTGCAATCCCTCTACTTGTTCTATTTAGGACATTGAGTGATTTTTTTTTCAAGCCCTCTGACATTCGAATGAAAGAGAAGTGGGGTTTTTTTGCGTTTGCACCTTGACTAAGATTGCCTTTATTCCAGGGCAAGTCAACTTGGTAGGATTAGGATGTCTGCCCATGTGTGTGGGGGTCATCCTCTCGGATGAGACACACAAGCCTGTGTGTTCGTTCATACACAACTCTTGACTGATGAAATCATGATTCTGCCGCAGCCCTCAGGATGAATTGCACAGCTTTCTAATGGGGGAAAGAGCTGTAAAGCTACAAGTCTGATGGTTGACATCAGTTAACTGTCAGTATGCAGAAGAAAAGCTGGAGACATAAGAAATGCTTTTAGGCATCAGAGAAGGTTTAAGACCAGGAACATTCAGTTAGTCAGTTTAGCAGAGAGTCATGATTTAGAGGAGTGACGGATGGATGAAAAAATACTTTGCCAAAGTATCAAATGAATAATTTTTTTTTCTGTTGCATGCAAATTCCACTCTTGTTAAAACACCACATTAAATTTGCATGTGCAAATTCAGTTTAAACTGATGCCTCTCTCCCCCTGCCGGCTGGAGAATAGATGTAAGGTTCAACATCAAAACACACAAAACTATAAAAAGCAAAGGGAGGAAGCAAAGAGCTGTGCAGGAAGACGAACACACTGCGCAGATCGTGAAGCGGGAGATAATTGGGCAAAGAGAGCAGTGTGTGTGCACTCTGCAGTGAGCACCTGAAGAGGGAGTCTGGATCAATTTGCTTTCATTCAGTGATCTGATTCTTTAAAATGCTTATACTGTTTACATGTCCATTAATGCATCACTATGTATGACTCATTGATGATAATGTGTCAAACCACCCATCCCCCTGATGCTGTAAATGTAAAATCACTGTTAATTGATATATAGAAAAATAAAATATGTCTTCAACCATCAATGTCTCTTTAGAGATCCCTAGTTATTTTGATGTTGTGACACCTCCCAGCCCTTTTCTAACACTGCACCATGTGGTTCTGAAAGTGTCTTCTTACCACAAAAAC